GAACAATTATACAAATGTATATGTTGCAAAGAGAGGTTATTGAAAAATACATAAAAGATGAGAACCCAACTCTCATTCACCTTGATAAATTTCAGCAGCAGACAGAGAACGTCATCAACAGCCCACAACAAGAAGACACATTGTAAGTTTATCAATAACAAAACATTGTTATTAAAAAAAAAAACAACAAAACCAAATTATAATATTTTGTTTTCAAAATGTTTTTGCAGGCTTGATTGCGGAATCCTTGTTTGCTACATCATAAGGCAATATGTTTCCAATAAAAACATAATGCCTACTTTTACCAAGGAAGAATGCAATCAACTGAGAGCTGATATGTTAACTATCTTCTTGACTGACCAACAAGTTGCTCAACGACAAATACCTGATGAAAACATTGATGACTTGCCTCTGCAATAATCAATAGATCTGGAATAGAAGAAAACAAAAGGAAACACTGATTCATTTGGTTATTAGAATGTCAATACTTTATACATTTTGCTTGTTTGCTTCTTACAGTGTTACCTGTATTTTGATGATTTTGGTTCTTACTTTCCTCTAATGAATATTACAATGCTTCGTTGTTACAATGTCAAAGTTATGAACAGTGATTGGTTGTTACAATGTCAAAGTTATGGACAATGCTTAGTTGTTACAATCTCAAATTTGTTTTAATGAAACATTCAGTCTTTCTTAGCCATATCGTTACCAGATCTGGCTTTTGATATTAGTCTTGTTATCCAAATTTCATTCAAAATATTGATTCTAATCTGAGTATTTGTGTTGAAATTAAAGGTTAATAACAGGTTTGGAGTCATTATACTGATAAATTTATCACTTTATAAAACACCAAAAACAACAACGACATTTAACCCAAATCAAATAATATAAATCTGTGAAACTTAATCCTGTAAAAATATCAGCAAAAAATATAATTTCTGTTCAACAAATTCCTCAATCATTCAATGCGAGTACCAAAATGATACATCTTTAGAATAATACTCAATCATTCAATGCAAGTAACACCTCTCAACTCTCAACAAAGTAATTCAATTAAAATCAATACAACTAAAGCAATGCTTCTTTACATGTCTTCCGATTATGAGTTCCCATCTTTCCACACCTATTGCACCTAATTCTCTTGATTTCGCCCTTAGAAGGTATTTTCTCCGTTCTTTGACGTCCAGCTGGTCTCTTACAAAGAGGAGGTAAAACAACGTCATCATCAACAACTACATTTGGCTTCCACATACTAAGAACTAGATAGATAGAATGTGAATAAGAATCACAATAACTACTAACATAATAGTAATCATCAAGAAAGCAATTCAGATCCTTCTCATTCCTCTTTATAGCACAAAAATCATTTTTGCAAGGAAAAGAATCAATTTCCCACAATCGACAAGAACAATAACGTTTCCCAATATCAACCATAACTGAATGATCCAATTGGATTTCATAAATGTCATCGCTACATTTCTTAACTATCCATGCTTTTGTATCATTAAAAGCTTCTTCCAACTTTTTCTCTACAAAAGGACAAACAATATGATTCCACTTATTCCCAACTTCTCTTCTTCTTGAAAATTGCTCCATTAGTTTCACCCGTATAGCATCAACAAGACTAGTTGAAAACAAATGGCATTCATCCCTAATCCATGAATTAAAAGATTCTGCAGCATTTGTGCACATTTCACCATACCTCTTGCCTTGAAAATAAGCGTTACACCAACACTCATTAGGCAAATTCTCAAGAAACTTCTCAACACTACAACCACAACGACCCTTAAATTCTTCAAATAGCTCATTAAACAACTCAAGCATAGCGCATAATATCCTTGGGAGACCCTCCCTTTTCTCTATTTTACGCTTCGTTGCAGTTTGGTGTCAGCACACCAGTGACTGGCAGTGCACCACCATGGCCGGCAGTGTCACATCTTTGGCGGGCAGCGCCTGTTGTTTTTGGCCGGCAGCTCTCCTTTCATGGCCGGCAGGCCACTGGTGAAATCTACAGCAGTGTTTTGGTAAGTCTCAGCAACAAGACTGGAAAACACCCCTGCAAACAGAGCTCTAAAGAGCAACCGGAAGGCGTTTCGAGGCAGGGAACAAAGCGAGCATGCATACCCTCCTCTTCTTCACAACGAGCTGGAACAGCATCGTTTACTGCTTTCCCCTATTTGTTTGTTGTCTTTCAATTTGGATAGTTAATTAATTTGTTAATTAATTAAGTTGTGTAATAATTAGTTGTAGCTAGTTATTCATTTGATTTTGTAATAATTAATCAGCTCGTAAGCTAGTTAATTAAGTGGCTTGTATTATTTTAATTCGGACCCTCCGAAGAGGGGCCAATTGTGTAATAAGTGTGCGTGCGTGTGTGGTGCATGTCTTAACCTTCCATTTCTTTCTCCCTTTTACTTACCTGCTTTTGTTGGTTAGTTTTGGTCATCTTTTCAATTAGCATACTTATGCTTCGCATGTGTGCATCCAATTTCATTTGTCTTGCATGCACCGGGCTCGGCACAATCATGCTACTGCATCATATTTCATTCCAATTTGAATACATGTATCAATTGCATCTCAATATGTCATCTTAGAGTAGCCGAGCCTATTTCTAGTTGCATTCTGTATGTATTAGCATTAGCCAATGCTAAGATGAACTAGGGATCATGCATTTGATTACTAACCAGTTTCTTGTTTTTGGCTTGGAATACAATGTAAATATTTATGCTTTAGCATCTCGCATGAGTGTGAAATGTTAACATGACAGCATGCTTACATGTGGCTATATGCTTATGTGATAAACTGTCTGAATGCCTGTGGGTGAAAGGTTGGATTATTTGAATTGGGATGATTCATTGAATCCGTATTTTAGCCTAACTTGCGAGTAGCAAATTTCAAACATTTCCAAACAACGAATTGCAATGCTTTGTTCAAATTAGGGCGATCTGTCTATACTTGTTGTGCTGTGCGCATCAACATAGTAATTATGCTAATCCATCGGAGAAAGAACGCAAGTGTTTTCAAAACGAGGTATCATGGTTAGTAGAGGCCGATCTTTTGATCGGGCGAGTGAGGGTGCTCATAAGCTGACCTTCCCAAGTACCCAAGTTCCCGAGCAAGCAACTTTGGTGATGACGGACACGTGGCCTTAGGCAACGAGTCAGGGTTTCCTAAAATTCTCCAAAATAAAATATTTAGGTGGCGACTCTGTATCTGCAAAGCAGTCCATGTTTGGCACTTCTTTTAAAAACAGTTTTTCAAAACGATTTGCCAGATTTTTGGACTCTTTGATGATTCATCGGTCTTGCATTGCACTCTGCGAGATTAGATACAGGACCGTGACATTGAGTCCTAACTGTAGTAAGCCAAATGAACAAAACGGGACGGGAATTCCCTCCCGGGACGTTCGGGGACGTCTACAATATGGATTGATAAAATTTTGATCACAGTGAAAAAAAGTTTCATCTCACCACCTATTTTAATTTAAAAAAGTTTAGAAGTTAAATTAACATTATTTTTTTTATTTATTTTGGTTAGAACTTGTTGACTAGAAAAGATGAGGAAGCAAGAAAGAGAATGCTGAACAAAATGATACCTGAAGCCAATGAAAGCAAGATAACTTCTCTTCCCAATCCACCAAAATTTTCACTGGACAATACTTGTTCCTTGACATTGAAGAAAGTTCATGGAAATTATACAATTCCATGAGACGAAGGGAAGCAATGGCTAAAGATCCACACTTAATGCGCAAATGAAGTGGTAAAACTGTTTTCACTATCAAACTTAACATTAATCAATACATCAATCCTAATCCATGCTCAATTATATATCAAAATTTATACAGTAACATATTTTATCATTTTTAAATCCATGGTTTCTCATTAATTGTTTCAACTGCTTCTAATAGAAACATTATACTCCATACACGTGTATGGAGGGATGAAGCCCTTGTAAAGCTTCTTGAAGAAGCTTTGGCTTTTCATTCCTCTATATAAGGAAGAGGCTTCTTCCTTAGATAGGGTTCTGAACTTTTGAAGAGGAAAAACTCCCTTTCTCTCTATATTGCTTGAGTTTAGTGCTTAGAAATTGGATTTCCTCGCACTTTTACACTACAACACATACAGACACACCACCACCATTGAACCAAGCTTCTTGGGAGGTCTTCTTGAGGTCTGAAAGTGAGTTTCCACCCCCTGAAATTGCTGGTTTCGAAGAGGGTGGTGAGCATTTCTCCCATTTTTGCACTTTTTTTGCACCTTGCTTTAGCCCTCTTTGCATGTTTATTTAGGCTTTGCTTATAACTGAAAAAAGTCTTGTATTTAAGTGCTTTTGAAGTTTGCTTAAGGTCATTTTGTTGTTAGGGGTGTGTAGCCCCCTTGCATGCTTTGGCTTTGTTTTAAGCCATTCCTTGAGGCCTCTGAGCTAGCCTTGGTTTGGCCTTCCTACCACAGAAATCCAGTGGATTTTCAGTGGTAAAGGTGTGGTTTTGAGGTCTTTAATCAGAGGGGGTGGCCCCCTCTCTTTTGGTTCCTCTTTGCTTGCATTTTTGGCCTTCCAAAGGACCATCCTTCTATTCATTTTTTAGGCTTGGTTTAGGCCTATTATTGTGACTTCTAGGACCAGTCTTGGCCCTGTCCATGGCTGGTTTGGTCATATTTTGCATACATCTTGTATGTGTAGTGTAACTCCATTCATAGCTCATCAAAGTAGCATATGTGCTTAGCTTGTGTTGAGTCCATTTTAGTAGGTTTTTGGTGATGTTTTACCATGCCATGAATCTATTTTGGGTCGGTTTTGTCACTCCATGCTTGCATGATACGCTTGTAGTGTAAATCCCCTAAACTAGCTTCATATGCTCCATGCTTTGCCATGTCATGTTAGCTTGTTTGGTTTACATTTCAGCATGTATTTGGTCATCATTTGGCATGTCATGACCCTATCCATATTTGGTTTGATCATCTTTTGCATGCTCCATATAGGCGTAGAACAAATCTTGTTTACTAGCCTTTTGTGCATGATGTTTTGACTCATCATACTAGCATATTTTGGCTTTGTTCTAACATGATTTTATGCTTATTTTGGGCCGTCCTAGGACTGTTTTGGGCTGCCATGGCCATATCACTCATGCTTTGTATAGCTATAGTGTAAATACTTAGGCTAGTCTTGGGTTTTGAGGCCCCTACCATGCCATACATGTGATGTTTGCATGCCTTGCCCTCATTCCACATGCTATTTCAGTCCATGAAATGTCGTCATACACTTGCATTTGACATGCTTTGAATGCTTTATAGAGTTTGTGCTTTATGCCTCAAGAATGAGCTTTTATGCATGCCACTTAGCCTAAGCCTTTGGCTCATCATTTCAGTGCATTTTGGGTCTTATTATACCATGATGTAACTCTATTTTATGTTGTCCAAGTCTTGCCATGATTGGTTCCAATGGGTGTAGTGCATTGCCTCTTTAAAGCCTTGCATGCTCCATGTTTTTTTTTTGGTTTTGTGTTCTAGCCTATGTTGGCTAGCTTTAAGCTTAGCTTTGGTCTTGTTTGGACCTAATCTAGGACTATTTTAGGTCCCCTTGGCTCTTTGGGGCTTGCCTTGTATGGCTATGGCTTAAGTCCCCTTGCTTACTTTGAGCTTTGAGCATCATAACATGCTATGCTTGCATTGTTGAGTTGATTTGGCATCACTTTACATGTATTTCAGAGCTTACCTCATTGTTATACATCCATGTTTGTTGCTCCTTAAGTGTGCTTAAGAGTTATCCTATTTATGCCTTAATACTTGAGCCATTTGGCATACATGTTTGTCTTGCCATTTCATGCTTTCATGCCATCAATTCATCACTTTTGGTTACTGATTTGGACCTATTTGAGAGCTGTCCATCTTTAGTGTAAGCCCATCTTACCATGTTGTCGCATGCTTATTTCATTTCGTATGTTGTTACATACTTGTTTAGCTTTACATGCCTTGCATGTTCGCATGTTCATATTGCATTTTGTCATAGGTTGTCACCTCACATCATGCTTATATGCTTGTTGCATGCTTAAGTTAGTTGCATGTTTGCACACTTAAGTCATACTGCATGTTTGCCATGCTTATGTGTTGCATTGCTTGGACTAAGTGTTAATCTGAGCATGAGGAACGAGGGACGTTTCATACTCCGAGTGATGGAATGTGTCTCAATTCTCGGTCGCCGAAGCTCTTGATGATTCATGATAAAGTTCTAGGCTTTACTTGCTTTATTTGTGCATTCATTTTCATATTGATTTGCACAAGTTGGATCCTTGGCCATCATGCATCGGGATGCGTAATTGATGGTCGTGGATCTGACTATGCCTCTCCCTTGATATTTTGAGGTGATATGGGGTGGCATAGCGCATACATATCCTTGGGAGACCCTCCCTTTTCTCTATTTTACGCTTCGTTGCAGTTTGGTGTCACAGCACACCAGTGACCGGCAGTGCACCACCAATGGCCGGCAGTGTCACATCTTTGGCCGGCAGCGCCCTGTTGTTGGCCGGCAGCTCTCCTTTCATGGCCGGCAGGCCACTGGTGAACTCTCCAGCAGTGTTTTGGTAAGTCTCAGCAACAAGCACTGGAAAACACCCTGCAAACAGAGCCTCTAAAGAGCAACCGGAAGGCGTTTCGAGGCAGGGAACCAAAGCGAGCATGCATACCCTCCTCTTCTTCACACAGAGCTGGAACAGCATCGTTTACTGCTTTCCCTATTTGTTTGTTGTCTTTCATTTGATAGTTAATTAATTTGTTAATTAATTAAGTTGTGTAATAATTAGTTGTAGCTAGTTATTCATTTGATTTTGTAATAATTAATCAGCTCGTAAGCTAGTTAATTAAGTGGCTTGTATTATTTATTCGGACCCTCCGAGAGAGGGCCAATTGTGTAATAAGTGTGCGTGCGTGTGTGTGCATGTCTTCCAACCTCCATTTCTTTCTCCCTTTTAGTTACCTGCTTTTGTTGGTTAGTTTTAGGTCATTTTTCAATTAGCATACTTATGCTTCGCATGTGTGCATCCATTTCATTTGTCTTGCATGCACCGGGCTCGGCACATCATGCTAACTGCATCATATTTCAATTCCAATTTGAATACATGTATCAATTGCATCTCAAATGTCATCTTAGAGTAGCCGAGCCTATTTCTAGTTGCATTCTGTATGTATTACATTAGCCAATGCTAAGATGAACTAGGATCATGCATTTGATTACTAACCAGTTTCTGTTTTGGCTTGGAATACAATGTAAATATTTATGCTTTAGCATCTCGCATGAGTGTGAATGTTAACATGACAGCATGCTTACCATGTGGCTATATGCTTATGTGATATACCTGCCTGAATGCCTGTGGGTGAAGGTTGGATTACTTGAATTGGGATAATTCATTGAAATCCGCATTTTAGCCTACTTGCGAGTAGCAAACTTCAAACATTTCCAAACAAACGGATATGCAATGCTTTGTTCCAAATTAAGCGATCTAGTCTATATTTGTATGCTGTGCGCATCACATAGTAAATGTAGGCTAATAACCGGAATAAGAACGCATAATGTTTTCAAAACTCGATATCATGGTTAGTGGAGACCGATTTTTGATCCGGCGAGTGGGGGTGCTCACAAAGTGCCCTTCCCCAATCGTACCCAAGTTCCCGAGCCGAGGCAACTTTGGTGATGACGAACACGTGGCCTTAGACAACGAGTCAGGGTTTCCTAAATTCTCCAAAATAAAATATTTAGGTGGCGACTCTGTATCTGGCAAAGCAGTCCATGTTTGGCACTTCTTTCTAAAAAATCAGTTTTTCAAAACGATTTGCCAGATTTGGACTCTTTGATGATTCATCGGTCTTGCATTGCACTCTGCGAGATTAGATACAGGACCGTGACATTGAGTCCTAAACTGTAGTAAGCCCAAATGAACAAAACGGGACGGGATTTCCCTCCCGGGACGTTCGGGGACGTCTACAATATGGATTGATAAAATTTTGATCACAGTGACAAAAAGTTTCATACTCACCACCTATTTAATTTAAAAAAGTTTAAAGTTAAATTAACATTATTTTTTTTATTTATATTTGTTAGAACTTGTTGACTAGAAAAGATGAGGAAGCAAGAAAGAGAATGCTGAACAAAATGATACCTGAAGCCATGAAAGCAAGATACCTTCTCTTCCCAATCCACCAAAATTTTCACTGGACAATACTTGTCCTTGACATTGAAGAAAGTTCATGGAAATTATACAATTCCATGAGACGAAGGGAAGCAATGGCTAAAGATCCACACTTCAATGCCGCAAATGAAGTGGTAAAACTGTTTTCACTATCAAACTTAACATTAATCCAATACATCAATCCTAATCCATGCTCAATTATATATCAAAAATTTATACAGTAACATATTTATCATTCTTTAAATCCATGGTTTCTCATTAATTGTTTCAACTGACTTTCTAATAGAACAATTATACAAATGTATATGTTGCAGAGAGAGATTATTGACAAGTACATAAAGGATGAGAAGCCAACTCTCATCCACCCTGTAAATTTCAACAGAAGACGGAGAGCGTCATCAACAGCCCATAACAAGAAGACACGTCGTATGTTTATCAATAACAAAACACTATTATTAAAAAAAAAAAAAAAAAACGACGAAACCAAATTATAATATTTTGTTTTCAAAATATTTTTGCAGGCTTGATTGTGAATCATTGTTTGCTATATTATAAGGCAATATGTTTCCAAAAACAACATAATGCCTATTTTTTCCAAGGAAGAATGCAATCAATTGAGAGCTGATCTGTTAACTATCTTCTTGACTGACCAACAAGTTGCTCAACGACAAATACCTGATGAAAACATTGATGACTTGCCTCTGCAATAATCAATAGATCTGGAATAGAAGAAAACAAACGGACAGTGTTACCTGTATTTTGATATGTTTACAGTCTTACCTGTATTTTGATGATTTTGGTTCTTACTTTAATCCAATGAATATTACAATGCTTCGTTGTTACAATGTCAAAGTTATGGACAGTGCTTGGTTGTTATAATGTCAAAGTTATGGACAATGCTTAGTTGTTACAATCTCAAATTTGTTTTAATGAAACATTCAGTTTTTCTTAGCCATATCGTTACCAGATCTGGCTTTTGATATTAGTCTTGTTATCCAAATTTCATTCAAAATATTGATTCTAATCTGAGTATTTGTGTTGAAATTAAAGGTTAATAACAGGTTTGGAGTCATTATACTGATAAATTTATCACTTTATAAAACACCAAAAACAACAACGACATTTAACCCAAATCAAATAATATAAATCTGTGAAACTTAATCCTGTAAAAATATCAGCAAAAAATATAATTTCTGTTCAACAAATTCCTCAATCATTCAATGCGAGTACCAAAATGATACATCTTTAGAATAATACTCAATCATTCAATGCAAGTAACACCTCTCAACTCTCAACAAAGTAATTTAATTAAAATCAATACAACTAAAGCAAAACTTCTTTACATGTCTTCCGATTATGAGTTCCCATTTTTCCACACCTACTGCACCTAATTCTCCTGATTTCGCCCTTAGAAGGTATTCTCTCTGTTCTTGGACGTCCAGCTAGTCTCTTACAAAGAGGAGGTAAAACAATATTATCATCAACAACTACATTTGGCTTCCACATACTAGGAATTGGATAGATAGAATGTGAATAAGAATCACAATAACTACTAACATGATAGTAATCATCAAGAAAGCAATTCAGATCCTTCTCATTCCTCTTTATAGCACAAAAATCATGTTTGCAAGGAAAAGAATCAATTTCCCACAATCGACAAGAACAATAACGTTTCCCAATATCAACCATAACTGAATGATCCAATTAGATTTCATAAATGTCATCGCTACATTTCTTAACTATCCATACTTTTGTATCATTAAAAGCTTCTTCCAACTTTTTCTCTACAAAAGGACAAACAATATGATTCCACTTATTCCCAACTTCTCTTCTTCTTGAAAATTGCTCCATTAGTTTCACCCGTATAGCATCAACAAGACTAGTTGAAAACCTCAAGAAACTTCTGAACACTACGACCACAATGACCCTTAAATTCTTCAAATAGCTCATTAAATAACTCAATAGTAGGAGCATATGCACATCTACTAAAAAGAGTAAGCAAATACTCTTTAGATTCACGACTCTTCACTGACAAATAAGTCTTCAAGTTTGTCTTCAAATGCACCAGACAAAAAGAATGAGAAGAAAACGGAAAGATCTCAGCTAAAGCTTTCAACACCTCCATAGCGACCAATATCAAACGCAATATCCCTCCCCGGAGTCAAAATAACAAATAACTTTGACAAGAACCAATGCCAACTGTCATAATTTTCACTATCAACAATAGCAAAACATGACGGATATAAACCTACAAACAAAATATATATATAAGTGATCAATGACAAATAAAAAAATTACAAAAAAAAAAATCAAAACACAAAGTATATAACATATAGCACCAGCCATAGATAAATTTATCACTATATAAATATAAAAATTTAACAAAAGTATACAGCATAAATTTATCACTAATAGATTGACCATCCTCAACAATCAGCACTCTCCAGTAACAAAAATGGTAAAATTATCATTGTTCCAATAATAATAACAAATAGACACAAAATATCCCTTGGTTACCATCTTTTGCCATAGCAGCCAATAAACAACTTTTGTGTCTTCTTTTCAAGAAAGTTTCATCAAGCATCAACACGGGCCTACAATACTTGTAACCATGAATACATGCCTCAAAAGCGAAAAAAAAGCATTTGAAATGTCTTCCTTTACTATCAATATCAAATTCCATATCAAAAACACTCCCCGGATTGCAAGCATTAGCGGCATCAACATACCAACGAAGATCGTCAAATGATGATGAATAGTCACCAAAAACAAGACCCCTTACTTTTTCAACACCCATCCAAGCTCGCCGATAAGAAACTTCTGTTCCATAATAGTCCTTGAAATCACAAACTACCTCACTAACCGATGTCAAAGCCTTATTACGAATATCACTTGAAATTAACCCACCAATCATATATGAAGTCATCCTAGCATGTTTAGTTGTACGAAAAGAAGATCCACAAGTATGAACATCATCAAATTGTTTAATAACAAAAGCTTTACTATAATTTTGCACTCTAGCATGCACGCTCCATAAACATCCCAAATCAGTCCGTCTCTTACAATGAACAGTGACACGATCCTTAACATTCTTAACAAAATCAAAATTAAAACCGGAATGAATAGAATACTTTAACAACGCATCTCGAAATTCAACAACTCCTTGAGCAAACTTTTGTCCCACTCCTTTCATACAATTAACCCACCCATCGGAGAGTAAAGGTTTCCGTTGATTTGAATAAAATGAAGGCAAAAAATCAATTTCACAAACAACACTACTACTACTACTACTAGCTTCACCATCACAAATCATATAACCTTCACCCAAAGAACAACACTTTACAAAAACATCAATACAATGAATATCACAAGAAAGTGTCAGTCCAACCATAACCTCCAAATCCTCTTCACTTTGTAGACCACAACAAGAATGTCCAGGCATTAAATACGATATATTCAAAGAACTACCAACTAACTCATTCCACTTTGCAGACAATTTATATACTAAATTCTTGAAATTAAATCCATCATTATACTTGATAACCAATGTCACACCTCTAAACTTGCACATGAGAAACAAACAATTCTTCTTCACTTTAAATCCTGCAACAAACAACAATTATATTTCAGCAAACAACTCAAACACCCTAAAACAAAATCAAATACAGTGATAAAATTATCAACCAAGTCAAACACATCCAAAAACCAACACTGATAACTTTAACAATTAACACCACCAAAGACCAAGAACAGTGAATAAGGCAACCTTTTAAATCTTACCATTACATTATGCAACCTTTTCATCTCCTATTCCCTAACTCACTCATAAATTTATCACTGTTGAAAAAGTTAATCCAACAACACTCCCAAAATACACAGTGATAAAATTATCACTGTATAAAATAACAAACCAACACCTGTGTTCAATCAACACAATTTCGTAACCAAAAAAAACAAAAATCTAAAATTCAATCAACATATACATATCTCAAAACTTTCAATATCATGATCAAAACACAAATTCAATCGCAACAGAAACAACAGAGTAACAATAATATCACCACAAAATCAAAATCACCAACTCAAACTAAAAAGAACCAAAACATTGAAATTGAAATCAAAATCAAACATACCAGTCAACCTAACTCCACAACATCGCAAATCAGAAAATGTAACTATACACCAAACGCAAAATCGCAAATAGGAAGAATCACCAAGCACGCAATCGCAAATCACAAATCACGAAGATACACCAAGCGCGAAATCAGAAATCACGAAGCTCCACAATAATACAGTAGCAAATCGTGAAGTTTCATAGAAATCCAAATCACAAACACAATATTTTGATAAAAATCCAAACAGAAATGCGCCAAAACAGGGGAGGGGTAAAACGGTACCAAAAAAAAAAAGCTCAGGACCTGTTGGTGCACAAAGAGCAAAACTCAAGACTAAGAGGGAATAAGTGTAAAAGGTAAGACCAGCCAGTAAAAAACCCTTTATTTAATCCTAAAATCTTTTGGATAGACCCAAAAGTCTTATATGTATTTATCTTCTTATCTTTCCTTACACCTTGCTTCTTCTCTATATCTCTATTTCTCTGATATCGGTGATGACCACGACCACGACTACGACTACGATTTTTTTTTTCCCTTTCTAATCTACAGTCACGGGCGATTGGTGACCACCATTGATTAAGGTTCACGGGCAACCACCGAGCACCAACTCCTTGTTTTATGCTCACTGACGACAAAAAAAAAATAAGTTTCCAACGAAGAAGATGAGTAGGTCTACTCAAATTTGATGTAAATATACTCAGATCTTAGTAGATTTACGTTAGATTCGGTTAGATCTAAACAAAAAAATAGTTGTCGAAGTATAAATATCTCTTTATATCTGTCTTTTTTCTTTGATCTCTTAGTTTTAGTACTTTTTTAATACTATACACTTATATTTTCCTGTTATAATAGAAAAAAAAATTAAATTCTAAACAAGTTGTTTTCGAATTTTAATTACAGGCGGTGAAAACTGTAAAATTTTATAGTTTTAGTTTTTTTGGTGCTGAATTGAATCATCCTATAGAACTGTAAAATTTTGCAGTTTCATAATTTTCTTTAAAATTATAAAATTTTACAATTTCCTAACATGTTTTTCAATTTGATTAATAAGGATAAATACTTAATAGAATCATATTTTGAAACTGTAACATTTTACAGTTTCAAAACTTGATTTTCAATTTGATTAATATTAGAAATTATTTGCTTAAACCCTACAAAAATTGAAAATAACATACATTTTTTTCATTGTTATTGTTTTTTGTTGTTGTGTTTTTTTTCTTTTTCTCTCTCTTCAGTTTATCAATATTTAGCACATTTTACGATATTTTTTCACTTTAATTTCTCAATTTATTCTTCTTCTTTTTTCAGCAATATTCGAAACATTCCGATGAGTCTCCGGCGATATTTTTAACGTCCAACGTATTTTGTAGACATTCTGACGACTTCCGAGAACGTTCAGAACATTCCGGTGAATTCCGATAATATTCCGACTATTTTCCTGTAATGTTGAATATTCTAGCGAGTTTCGATGATCGTTTGATAAAAATTCGACAGTGATGGGATGTAAGGGCATTTTTAAATTATTATTTTAATTTTTTTTGATAACAATTAAAAATATGTAAGATTAATTGATATAAATATTTCATTTTAAAATTAGATAAATTTTAAATTTTGTATATGAAACTTGTCAATAAGTTGGGGGAAAAAAAATGGTAATGTTAAAATTTACATTATAAAATGTATTGGGTAATAATCGTAAATAAGAAAATCTATCACTTCACTCCATACACTGCGTCTAGCTCTCAGTTCTGAAACTCCATTGCTCTTAGCTTCTTCTGCGTTCGAAGCAAACCTCGAGTGAATGAACGGCGAAGCATCGATTAGCGAACGGCTGTGATTTCTTCGGCATCGAATCCGCGACAATCTTCTTCGTCCAGTGAGTCCTCTCTCTCTCTGCCCTTAATCTGATTTCTGTGCCCTAATTTGAGGACTTTGCTGGATCAATTGTCTCTTTTTATTATTATTGATTTCATTGTTTTTGAGGACTTTACTTTGATTTTGATTATACAGCCATGGATCCTAGAAAGTGTATCTCTATATATGAAAAAAGGAAAAAGAAGCAAAGAATAAAAGAATTAATTCAATCTGAGGGAGCTCTTGCAGAGAGTTCAGATTCTGTTGATAGTGAAGAATTTGAAGGTTTTGTGAGTGAGGAACCTAATCATGAAACTAGGAATGAGCACATTATTACTTTACATGGGCAAATGGATTGAATTGGAAAGTAAATTTAAAAAGAATGAAACAATTGATGAAAGTGTGCAACGACAAATCAGTAGAGAGGAAGAACACTGGAAACAAGTATTCCTAAGGATTCTTGCTGTTGTGAAAACTGTTGCTAAGAATAATTTGGCATTTTGTGGAGACGATGAGGAGATTTGTGGGGAGAGAAGTCGACATTTTTTAAGTTTTATTGAAATGATTGCTAAATTGGATCCAGTAATGCAACACTACATTCAGCGTATTGAAAGGAATGAAGCTCATTACCATTATCTTCGTCACACAATCCAAAATGAGTTGATACAAATGTTAGCGATTGAAATCAAAAGTAGAATCGTTCAAACAATCAAAGAAGCAAAGTATTTTTCAGTTATGCTTGATTGTACACCAGATATGAGTGATGAAGAACAAATATCTCTTGTAATACGATGTGTGGATGTTTCATCAAGTCCAATAAAGGTAGAAGAGTTCTTCATTGAATTTTTAAAGGTGTATGATGCGTCGGGGTTGGGACTTTTTAATGTACTTAAAGAGGTATTGTGCAAACTCCAACTTGATATTGGTGATATAAGAGGACAAGGATATGATAATGGCTTTGATATGAAAGAAAAATACAAGGGTGTACATAAAAGACTACTTGAAATAAATCCTAGAGCATTCCACACGCCATGTGGTTGTCGTAGTCTTAACCTTGCACTTTGTGATATGGCCCTCACTTGTTCTAAAGCCTGTTCTTTTTTTGGAATGGTACAACGTATATATTCTTTGTTTTCATCTTGTACAAAATGGTGGAAAGTTTTGAAAGATAATGTGGAAGGCTTCACACTTGAGCCATTGGCACAAACTCGTTGGGAAAGTTCCATTGAAAGTGTTAAAGCCATAAGATACCAAGCCCCACAAATAAGAGATGCTTTAATTGATTTGGCAAATATTAGTGAGGATCCCAAAACAAAGTGTGAAGCAGAGTGCCTAGCAACACATGAAATTGAAAATTTTGAATTCTTAGTTGGCATGGTTATTTGGCACAATCTATTGTTTGCTATCAACTTAGTTAGCAAGACATTTGAAAATGAAGATATGCATATTGATGTTGCTATAAATCAGTTAAAAGGACTCATTACATTTCTTGAAAGGTATAGAGAAATTGGATTTTTGGAGGCAGTGATTGAAGCTAAAGAAGTTGCAACTGCAATGGATATTGAACCTGTGTTTCATGAACAACTTGTCATTCGGAGGAAGAAACGGTTTGATGAGAATGTAAGTGAAGAAGTTACACAGTCAGCTGAAGAATCCTTTAGAATTAATTACTTCACATATATAGTAGATCGAGCTATTTCTTCACTTAAGAGTATGATTGAACAATTTCAAACATATGAGGAAACTTTTGGATTTTTGTTTGATTTGATTAAGTTGAATTCTACTAGTGATGAGTGTTTGAAGACTTATTGTGCTAATCTTGAAGATTTTCTGACACACGAAAAATTTCCTGATATTGATGGGAGAGATTTGTTTACAGAATTAAAAGTTCTGACAGAAATTTTACCAAAAGAAATCATCAAGCCAATTGAAGTTGCCAATTATTTGAAAGTAATGGATGGTTGCTTCCCAAATGCATGGATTGTTTATAGAATATTGTTGGCTATACCAGTTACAATTGCCTCTAGAGAAAGAAGTTTTTCAAAGTTGAAGTTGATCAGATCTTACATTCCGTCAACCATGTCACAAGAAACCATGTCACAAGAACGATTGAATGAATTGGCTATGTTATCTATTGAAAATGATATGGTTGATAAGCTTGATTGTGCAAGATTAATTAGTAGTTTTGCATCTAAAAATGCAAGAAGAGTAATATTTAGTTGATAGTTGGTTTGTTTGATGTTTTGTTTTGTAAACTGGATTTTGCTAGACTATAAATCAACAATATCATATTTTAGTCTTTTTTAGTTCTTATAATGATTTCTTCATGTCTTTTCTTATGCAAGTTAATTTTAGTAATTATATATGCAAGCAAACTTTGTGTGGGTAGCGAATAAAAAAATTGTAAGTACTTGTCATTTTACCCAGAGTATGTGTAATGGGCCTCAGTTCACCCAGCTACCTGAAGAACTCAAGTCTGACCTTGAATAATTGCTACCAGGCAAAGACAGATAAGGAAGATTAGTCAATGTTTTTGCCAAGATTAGATAAATTATAGCTGAACCAATTATTTTGCAGTTGTTTGCAATGAGTTGAGTTTCTGACCACAGGAACTGTTTTAGAACCCAAAAATATCTTTTTGGAAAATTATTTTGTTGGGTGAACAAAACCCTCCCACTATATTTGGTCAAAACAGTAAAATAGGTCCTTTTAAAGCAATAAACCCCACTTATTAATCATAATTGCGTGTTTTGTTGACGAGCTAGTATTGATCTGATTACATGAATTAGTAAGTTGACAAATGTATTAACAGAGATTGGATAGATTTAGTTATCTTAAAATTCGAATCTGCTGTTTCTGATACACATTCAAGCACATGACTTTGTACAGAACTTGCAAAAACTGATCTAAAGAGGTGTTATGGTATCAAAGATATATGTATGTAATTTATGTATGATACAAGTATCAAATCAGCCAGAGACTTCTCAAACCAGACCTACACAAAGACCACCCAATACGTCCTAATCTTGCCAATATAGTTAATTTTACAAGTGCTAAACCTCGAACTTTCATTCTTTAACTAACCTAAAACCTCACATCAACTGTTGAAACTCATCAGTCATGCCAGCACAGAAGCAGAACAGTACATCTCCAGATGATATAAAGCCTTGCCTTCTGCTCTCGAATTTGCTTTGGACACCGTTGCCACGACCGGACCTTTGAACACCTCATAGAGAATGAGTTTGCTGCCATTTTCATTCAAAAAAAGATGGAAACAAATGTCTGTTTCTGGGTTGAATTTGATGGGTGAGTTATAACTTGTTGAAGTTGCTTTGTGGAATGAACTCTTTGGGGTGCTTGGAAGGACTAATATACATGGAAGAGTTGAGGATATGTGGTGGATGAGAAATGTTGGGGCAAGGGTGAGGTGGTCCACTGTGTTCTCTATTAGTTACATGACAAAGCAACCTAATAGCTTGTCCCCTTGCCAACCCCTTCTTGAAAAGGACTTGTCATCAACTTCTCCTTATAGAGGGGTTATCACTGTCTCACATGGATGCATGCATGCACACTGGTATGGTTTTTGTTTTTGTTTTTTTTTTTTTTTTTTTTTGGAAAAAAAAAAATCATGGGAATAGAGAACAACCATACACGTATGTCTTTCTAACAAACTGACTTCTTAATTTTTTTGTTTTTTAATATATTATCCTTGAAGGCATATAAATAGTTTCTGTATGTTATTTTATTTTCCCTTTTTCTCTTCAAATTAGAGAAGAGGCTGTATTATTAATGTTATCGCTTATCCTAATCCTCAGCTGCAAAATTGACATATAACCTATGTTCCATTTAGGAATTGAAGTCATTGATGTGCATAAAGGGCACAAGCCCCTCGGTTGTGTCTCAAAGTGGGGCCACCCTGAATTTGTTTTTATGATTTTAAATCATTCATCTTGGAAGCTTGCTTCATAGATTATTAATAGTCGCATTATTGAATCACATTTTTCTTTAATTTTTTTTTTTAGTATTATCAAAATGGACAAATATGAACTGATGTTGTGACTAACGATATCCGATTAATTTTATTTTTTACATATATGATTTGCTCAAAATGAAAAATCCAAATTATGAAAATAGGGAGGTAGACCCGCAATGAGCCCGACTTGAGGCACAAGTGGTTGAAACATCAATGTTATCATGTGGACCGCATCTTTTCGTCAAGTTAAACAAAAACTAGGGTCTCAATCAATACGACATGACATGCTGGCCGGCCACTTATCATTGCCGGAAGTGACAAACTAAACTTAGTTCCAAGTCATTCATTCATTCACATCCACTTTCAATCGATGATGAATGGGTGGGATTTTATTTATTTTTTTGATAAATATGAATGGGTGGGATTATATATTTATTTTCTCTTCTTCTTCAACATAGCAAACACTGTTTGACGAGTCTTCAACATTAGCATGGCCTCAAGTCAAGCCAGACACATTGGGCCACGTCACCCTTTCCTGTCACTGTCGGCGGTGTCAAAAAGATTCCATGTCAATTGGGTCCATATTTCATGCGCTGTTCTAATCTATGTCCGGTTGTTGCAGTAAAGGAGGATTGGGATGAGGATAAGGTTTCTTTTGAGGTGGACCAGATAATGTTTTTTAGACAATGTGTAGAGCCAAATTTGGACGGACAAGATTAGTTCTTATGCCCCCACCCCCCACAGACAGATCAGCTTGCAGCCGTATGATCATTGATTGCATTGCACATGGGACGAGACAAAGTGGAGGACGTTGGTAATGTTGATGTAATGTAAGAGTCGTTCAAATTCAAGTTCAAACCATGAGAATGTTGTGTGATTCTTTTACCTTTTCAAGTGCCTTCCTAAGGAAAAAGAATCCTAGTTGTTGGGGGAACCCTAGTTCTGTTGGAACTAACCCAAGTTAGTTATGTGAGTTTACAATTCAAGGTGAGGGGAGGGTAGGATATGACCCACAATAAAATTGGATCACTGATTCACTAGTCTTTTCTTCTATAATTTAATTCTACATACTCACTTGTCGATTGGTTATATTACGATGTCAAACAACAATATTTTTATCAAAAAATATCGCTCATGGTGTACCGAGTACCCTCCATATAATAGGGAGACGTGTGACCATGTCTATCATTTTTCAGACAAAATAATCATGTGTCTCCCTATTGTTCAGCAAGCATACGATCACGTGACAAGTAGGACTTACCGTCCAGCCAACAATCTTCTTAGCTTTGTGAGGGCTTGTTTGAAAGATAAATCTCCAAATAACCCACTACTTGATCTTACTTTGAGTTCATATATCGCCTGATATGTGACGGTACCCTAGATCTCACCAAGGCGGGTTTAGGAGGTTACTCATTAAATATATATATATATATTCTTAGCTTTGATATTGTCCTTGCAGCACCTTAACTCACCTTAAATCAACAAGTTCATCGATTGGTATATAAGGCCTATGACTGAACTATCTTAGAGAGTGAGTCATACTAGGGTCACAAATCTTAAACACAAAATAACCACTCCAACTAGAATCTTTGTGGCCTGCCAGTCAGAACAGATTACAACTATGCACATCCAAAGCACATTAGACAGTATAAACACACACACACACACACACACACAGAGAGATTGGGGTCAATCAAGATACAAGCTACTACATTCAGTGAACCAAGGAAAGCCACAAGCAACCCTTTTCAATTAAGCAAAAACAACTTACACTACACACTAAACAACTTCAAAGTTACATACAACTCATAGCTTGGATCCAAAAGTAGATTTTCTACAGTAATCAAACGAAGTGCAGAAAGATTTGAAACTAGTAACATCACTACTATCAACAAATTCAATACTCAAAATAGGGAACACACTTCAGATAATTAAACAAAAACAAGACTTTCTTTGCTTCAGTTTTATTTATGTCATCTGCTGAATCAATTCAGTTTTCAACAAAGCTAATTTTTAAGTCCATCAAACGTCTCCCAATGCTTTCTGAATGTCTGCCTGCATTAGAAAATCCAAAGAGGCAAGGCAAGTTCAGAATTTAAAAGAAATATATATATATATATGAAAGACGCACAAATACAAAAGAGAGAGAGAGAGAGAGAGAGAGAGGGAGAGAGACCTCAATAGCTAATGGAGCAGTTGTTGGGCCATAACGACAGATAGCTACGCCTTCCTTATCAACTAAAAACTTGGTGAAGTTCCATTTGATCCTGGACCCAAGAAATCCACCTTTACTTGCTTTGAGGAATTTGTAGACAGGTGCTGTATCTGGCCCATTAACGCGTATCTAAACAACAAAGATGGTTGATCATCTTGTTAAATAAAGTAAACTTGGGACAATTTTGAGCTGCACTACACAAAGAAATCGTATGAAATACTTATAAGCAATATTGTTCAGAATTTTATTCAAATTTACAAAGTTTGAAACATAGACATTAAAAAATGTGTCAGACACAGCGATAGGCATCGATCGATACAGGAACCTGTGAAGTAGTAAGCACAACTAATGTATGCAAGCACATTGGATAATTTCCAAGTCTAGGAAAGAAAGGGGAAAACTCTTACACCTGAACACTCTGTTTGGATCTTGAATTTACTGAGAAAGGGAAAACTCTTAGGGCACGTTTCGTACGATGGAATGAAATGAAGCGAAATGGGAATGTAATGATATTGGGAATGGAATACATGGTAGAATGGAATGTAACGCTCATTCTCATTCCACTGTTTGGTTGACATAGTAAAATGGTGTGGGAATGGAATGACCATTCCCATTCCCATGTTTGGTTTGTTAAGTAAATTGAAAGGAATAGAATGGTTACCAAACTAATAACTACTAGATTTTTTTTTTATAATCATATTAAATTTAAACAAATGAATAAATTGTAAAAAATTCATTAATATGAACAAAACAATAAATTTTAAAATCGCACAATACCCACAATCATAATAAATAATTCATTAATCTCGAAACAAAATTGTACGCTAGAAATATATAAAACAAAAGTATTAAAATGTCCACAACCATATGTCTACTTTATGAGCTAATAAAATCTAAAAAAAATTTGGCAAGGCATGAATTAAAAACAATTGAAATACTATTTAATCAACATTCATTAAAGCAATACAAAAAAGGAAAAAGAAAAAAAAGAGTAACTTATGCTAGAATGACTGTAGTAAATACATATACTTTAAAATAAAATAAAAAAATCAATAACGTTTTTTAGGCAGAAATTTTTTAATTTGTCAACAACAAATAACAATCACTTGTGCGGTGTTTATGTATGGAATAAAAATTAAATCAAACCAAACCTTAAATTCCATCAAATAGGGTCAGCTGCATGAATCCTTCGTCTCCACTCGACTCTATCCAAAGCCATTTCGTTAGTCAAATTAAGAAGATTCATATCTCTATTTACTACACTAGTCCATGTCAATCTAGGTCTATCCCTTCTCCTAATACTACCATTTACCGTCACTGTATCGCACCTCTTCACTACTACCTCTATTGGTCTCCGTTGTAGATGACCAAATCATCTCAATCTATTCTCTCTCAACTTATCTTCTATCGGTGCTACTCTAACCCATTCTCGAATATACTCATTCTTACCTCTGTCTTTTCTAATCTTGCCACACATCCACCTTAGCATCCTCATCTCAGCAACACTCATCATCTCTATATGTTGTTTCTTAGTTGCCCAACATTCTGTCCCATACAACATCGCTGGTCTAGTAGCCGTTCTATAGAACTTTCCTTTTAGTCTAATAAGTACTCATTAATCGCACAATACTCCAAATGCACTCCTCCACTTAAGCCACCCTGCCTAAATTCTGTGGACCACATCTGCACCAAACTCCCTAGTCGTTGTGATAATCGATCCTAAATACCAAAAATGTTCTCTTAGGTAGTTCTTGGTCCTCAATTTTCACTTCTCCTTTACTCCCATTGTGACTATTACTAAAATTACACTCCATATACTCTAACTTAGTTATGTTTATCCTAAATCCTTTAGATTCAAGTGATTTTCTCCAAAACTCTAACTTAGTGTTAACTCATTCTCTAGTCTCATCCATTGACACGATATTATCTGCAAAAAGCATACACCATGGCACATTATCTTGAATATTGCGCGTCAACTCATCCATAACTAAAGCAAAAAGATAAGGACTTCAGATTAATCAGTGGTATAACCCTAGGAAAATTAGGAATTCACTTGTCTTTCCAGCAGATGATCTAATAGTCGTCACAACACCTTCATACATATCCCTAATCACATCAATGTAACCTTTTGTTGTCCCTTTCTTCTCTAACACCCACCAAATTATATTCTGAGGCACTCTATCATATGTTTTTTCAAGATCAATAAAAGCCATATGAATGTCTCTTTTCTTTTTTCTATATTTTTCTATTACTTTCCTCAAAAGATAGATCGCTTTTATTTTTGACCTACCAAGCATAAACCTAAATTGATTCTCTAACACTTCTATTATATCTCGCAATCGATGTTTCATCACTCTCTCTCTCACACTTTCATTGTGTAATACATTAACTTAATTCCTCTATAGTTGTTACAATTCGGACATCTCCTTTATTCTTATATATTGGCACTAAAATACTCTTCCTCCACTCCTTTGGCGTTTTCCTAGTTAATAAAATCTTACTAAATAACCTAGTCAACCAAACAACCCCTTCTTATCCAAACATTTTCACGCTTTGATAGGTATATTAGTAGGTCCTAAAGATACAAATCACTCAATCTTGGGTATGTGAAACAAAATTTAAATAAAAAAAAAAAGAAAAAAAAAAGATACAAACAAACTATATAGTTAAAAAAGAAAAAGAAAAAAAGTGATACATAAATACATATATATACTATCATACAGTTTATATGATTTCATGAAGTTTCATATATATATATATATATATATGCCTTACAACTAACATCTAAATAAATTGAAACATAATTTAAATATATATCTATTGAACTTGGTAGAAGAACAATGACGAAGTTGTCTATGGCTTATTGTTTAGTATGTGAGAGTATTCATAGAGAGAGATTGTATGAGAGAGAAGAAAAAAAAAATCCTAAAACAATCGTTTTGTTTTTTTATTTTTATGAGAGAGATTGTTGTTTTGTTTTATGATGATTCCATGTTGGAATGGAATATCTATTTCTTTGCTTCTCATATGGAACAGGTATTCTCACTTTTTGTTGGAATGGGCATTCTCATGGAACAACTATTCCCACTTAAATAAAACATACTAAATGAGAGAAAGGGAATACAAAGGTAGAATAGGCATTCCATTCCAACCCATTCCATTGTACCAAACGTGTTCTTATACCTTAAAAGAGAAAAGCTAAATTCCTTGCTTTCATGTGATTGGGTTGGGCTGGGAACTGACAAGAAAATATATGGGTATTTATCAGAAAAACCTTTTTTTTTTGTTTGGTTATCTGTAGGAAATGAATAGGTATAAGTAATTTCATTTCCTTTTTTTCCCTTTCCCTCAACAAATCAAAGATCCAAATTGTGGGGACATAATTTTTGAGTTGTCCACGTAGCCTAGGATGTTAGCCGAGGTTACACGTGGGTGGCGTTGATTGGCCAAGGTGTGATGTGATTACACTGGAATCTAAGATATTCGGAGAAAGGGCTAGAGTCTTAGATAATGACAGACTCCTAGGTTGGATGAATTAGGACTCCTATGAGAGGTGTATCCTAATCCAATTAGGAGAGCTGAGTCCAAGATAAGTGTTATCCTAGTGAAAGATAAGAGTCTTATTGAAGTAAGACTTCTAGGATGAGGAGGGCACAGGTTGTCATATAAAGCAGACACCCCATTGGTTAAAGGTATGTTTTAACTTGTGATCTTGTTTGATTATCTACTGACATAAAGTTACTGACTTGATTGTCGGAGTGCCCCCGACCCACCGGGTAAGTTACTTGTCCTTCCGTGTTTGCAGGTGTTGATTCCATCTAATGCACGTGCTCTTTGGCTTTGTTTCCGGAAGCTTGGAGAACAAGATCTTACTGATCGTGTGTGGCTTGGTAAGATTTTACCATGAATTGCAGTAGGACATCTAAACAAACTACATTATCAGATAAACCCTGGGAGGAGGATGCAACCAGAAATGAAGATTTTCACTGCTGGTGGTATTGGGAGGCACACAAAAAAGCAAAGGAACCAAGACAATATGTACCCATTTCAAAACATCAGATAAAAAAAACTAGTCTAAAACTCAAAATTCATGCTAATATTTAGTTTTCAGTTAACTATTTCTTTCACTTCTGCCAAATAAAAAAAAGGCTTCAAGTTGTACTCAAGATCCCATTCTACACAGAGGGCTAGTTCTAAGGTCAAGACAAATGCATTACAAGGTTATCCCAGTTTGCTCACCAAGGTATAAGACTCACACACCATTAAAAGCTACGGTGATACGTTTATGTGCTCCATCACAAATGTTCGTCAACAATTGTGATTAATGGGAAGGTCACAGATTTTGTTTAAGCATGCGATTAAGGTTGAAAGTCTTCAACTGATTCAGATAATAGGGATGACTACCTCAAAAATGCGGGAATCATCAAATTATAAACAAGAGGTTGTTTACTGAAACTAAAATTCAATAACCTCTTCTTTTTGCATTTTGTCAATTGATAGAAGAGTAATTACAAATATGAGAAGTATTACATAAATTTGGACAATTAAGGTCGAACAATAGTTAGAAAGCCAACATTCACCAAGCCCAATAACCACCACAAGAAATAGCCAACCTTGGGAAGAAATAAATAACTACATAAAACCACCATAATGGGGAGAAATAAATACAACAAAGCATATCAAACTCCTCTCCATAAGTTGAACAACCTCACACCACAAAGTGATGCTACACAACCACTAGGCCAAAGGCCCTATTTGAAATTCAATAAGTTCATGAAACACTAAAAAATAAGTATTAGTAGCCATAAATTATAATTAAAAAAATACTTTAAAATTGTTATTAGTAGCCATCATCATAATCATGAGTTACACCAGCAGTAACCAAATACTTAAAAATAAACTTTTTCAGAATGTGCTTCCCCAAGCCTAGTTCTCGAACCGATAGAGAACTCCAAATTGTTAGGGAACCCAATCTTGAACAATCATTTTCAATTGCAAAAATTGCATAGGAAAGACAATGTGTTTAATTGAGAAATGTTGCTAAAACAATTTTAAATAGTTTTCCAAATGTATCCACAATATAATGTTTGACATTGTTTCCATTAAATTCATTGCACCTTGGGTTTTTGCCAACTGGTTTCTCACTAGGTAAATGCTCAGACATAGGTCTGATTATTGTCTGCATACTATCTCAAGGTATCACACTTCCCATTTACTTTTCAAGTCATGCCATTAAGTATATTCCACACGAAACCCTAATCGCTAAATTGCCCATTTAAGCTCAATGCACAGTTAATGAGCATTAGTGAATCACTGAGTTTTGAGATGTGTTTAGGCTGTACTATATACGGCACATACATAGCCTACACCACCTTGGAGCTTTTTTAAGCAAAATTATTTTGCTCATAGGAAAAGAAGAGGGATAAAAAGACTACAATACAAAATGAAGTAACAAAACTTTAATTTTATCCCATTAAAGTAAACTTTTAATTTTCAATCAATAAATTCAAAATTCACAGTAGTGCATTATTTCATATCAAACCAACATTGATATTATATTTATGACAAATAGTTGATGCAACTTAATATTAGGACAAACAAATAATTGTTAAATTTATCAGCATCTTGGAATATTTTATGATACTGGTTACCTTTTGGAAAATTGGGTATTCTGCCTTGTATCTTGTACATGCGAAATCTTGTGCCTCAGCGCTTGTACCGGGCTCCTGATGCAGGAACTGATTGCATGGAAAGGCCAAGATCTCAAATCCTGAAACCAAGCGACAAAGCATATCTGGGTACATGTGTGTATGCAATATTCATATGCTAAAAGTTCCAATCAATTGAAAAGGGAAGAAACAAACCCTAAGGGATTTTATACAGGGTTTTAAACTTCCCGAATCCCAACACAGATAAAAACATAAAGATGAGTGAGAAAGTAAAACTGAAGCTAAAAATTAGAATTTTATGTGGGTATTTCATAGTTAACTGGAAAGGTTACACAAGTATAAAAAGATTATTCAGTTTAGTATATACTTTTTACCTCAAATCCTGAAACCAACCAACAAAGAATATCTGGGTACATGTGTTTATGCAATTTTCATATATTCTTCAAGTCCCAATCAATTGATAGGAAAAGAAATAAAACCTAAGGGGTTTTATACAGGGGCATATACCACCCAACACAGATGAAAACATAAAAGATGAGTGAAAATGTAAAATTGAAGTAAAAAATTAAAACTTTATGTGTGTATTTCATAGTTAACTGAAAAGGTTACATAAATATAAAGAGATTATTCCGGTTATTATATAGACAAAAAGCAAAAGCCCCCCAAAAAATGGAGTGATGGAAAGATTCCATACCTTTTTCTTTGTATTTGTTGTAAACTTCAGTCAGTTGGGTATAGTTTGAATCTGCTAACCCACTGTTTCAACCCCCACATATACAAATCACACAGAAACACAGTATTAGAAAAGAAAGATAAAGATTAAACCCATATATCAATTTCGCAGAATATGAGGCAACAATAAACAAGATTAGAAAAGAGAAGAGAAGGGAAGAGACCATTTGGAGGCAACGTTGACAACAAGAAGAACCTTCCCTTTGTATGTGCTGAGATCCACCTCCTTACCCTTGCTATCCTGCACATCCCAAACAAATTCCAAACTTTCTCAGAATCCAAACAAAACAATTTGAACAAACACATATATATGTATGTAAAACAAATAGAGAAAGAGAGAGACCTTGACTGAGAAATCATGAATGGATTTTTGAGGGACTGATTCAGAAGCACCCATCTATATTGTAACCAGAGAGATTTGTTTACATGTAAAGATTTCTATTTCTTGAAGGTTTGGCCAAGACAACAGCCAGCAGCACAGAGCACCACCCTGATTTTTGTAAAAGGAAAGTAATAAATTTAGAAGATGAAATGTATGATAAGGTCGTTGGCTTTATTTAAATTTTAATTAATGAGTTCCATCAACCGTGAGTTATTGTTATTATTATTTTTTAAAAGTTTTTTTTAAAAAAAATTAATTAACAAAATACTAATCAGCTTTTGTTTCTGTATGAAGAAAAATAAAAATTATTAAAGTGTTTCTTGACAAATGAATAATATATTCTGAAATTTTCATGAGAATAATTTCTTCAAACAGCTTGTCGATTATATTGTTTTATTAGTGTGATTTTATTTTATTTTTATTTTTTTACTATAGAAAACATAATTCGAAGCAAGACTAAACATTTTTTCTTTTTTGTGGGTTTCAGATAATGATTGTTTAGGTCAAATTGTTAAATTTTTAAATACTAGTATCATAAGAAAACTACTTGTATTTATTACGATTCAACATTTTTTTAATTGAAATGAGTAACTAATAAATATCACGAAAATTATAGATTTTTTTAAGGTTATACAAAAATGGGAAATGGTACAAAAAAATTGCAAAAAATTGAGAATAAAAGATTATTACAAAGATACATAATTTACCAAACCAATATTCTTGGGCCATGTTTGTTGGGTGAACATAAGCTTGGAATTTGACTAATAGTTTAATAAAATTATTAATCTGATATTTGATTAAACAATTGAACTACGGACTCCCGGATATGATATTTCACATATGATGGATTATTTAATCTCACAGAGGAGGTGGGATATAAATTGAAAGATTAAGCCAAATTCTAGACTATTAATCCTTCCTTATAGTTCTACTTCAATCCAAATATAGGATAGGATACATAATCCAAAGGGATTCGTAGTCCTAAGACTATTAAGCCCCGTTTGTTTTCAGAGATAGAATAGAGGGAATTCATAGTGAGGGGATTAATAGTGAGGGGATTGTTAGTGAGGAGATTGATAGTGAGGGGATTAATAGTGAGAAATTGTTAAATTATTTTTATATAAAATAATAAAACAAATAAAAAAATATAAAAAATTAAACATTATATTTTAAAAAAAATTCCCAATATATAAAAAATAAATAAATAAATTTCTAATCCCCTCACTATTTTTCTAATACCATCTCTACCTCCTCTTTACCAATCCTCATTCATCCTCCTTACTAATACCAAAGGATTGTTAATCTCCTCCATATCTCTCAAAACAAGCATCCCATTCTCAATCCCCTCCTTACTATCAAACTCAACCCACCTCCCTATAACCCCAAACAAACGGGGCCTTAATCATGAGAATGTTAGTCCAATCGAATTTAGTCCGCATAAATAAACAACGCTGCTACAGACCCCCATTGGGGGTCGACTCCCAGTGACGTGGCGGGCCTCCATTGGCCAGTTTTCTGTTTTTTTTTTTTTCTTTTCTTTTCTTCCAATCCTGCAGTGCCACGTGGCACTGGGGGGTTGGTGGGGGTGGGGTTTACTGGGAGTCCCGCACATTTTTGATAAATAAATATGACATTGGTGGTAGGAGAAAGGAGAGGCGTTGAATAGATTAAGGGTGGAGAAGGGGTTGGAAAGGACGAAAAAGTATAAAGGTAAGGCTCCTGACAATTAGAAATGGTGGTGATGTGGTAGTTGATGGCTGGGGAGAGTAGTAGAAGGATGATTGGAAAAGTAGAGAAGGGAAAGAACGAAAAAAAAAAGAAAGAGATGAGTTAGGGGCAAAAATGAGGATATAATTGTAATTTTCATGTTTTTTTTTTGTAATTATATTTTGGTTGTATTTTTTGTGAATTCTCACATTTTTGCAAATTTTTTTTTCCCGTAAGTTATCCCATTTTTCTATAATTCTCTCTCTATTTTTTTATTTTTTTTTTGTCATTGACAACTCAATTAGTGGCACTCAGTCAATAGTCAAAAAGTTGACATTGAGACACATTGACTGTAATTTAGTTAGTGGGCTAGTGCCAATTTTAAATTCAAGCAAAAGGCTTAACTATTGTTGAACAATCATTTCAAAATAAAAAAACAAGTTTGCATCTTGATTTTCTATCCACCGAATGTTATGAAAATTGGATTAGATTGGCTGGTCGGATCGGTTAATCTATCAACCGGTTCAAGTTTTAGTTCAGATAAATTATCATATCCGTTCAAAGAAAAAAATCGATTTACTTTCAAAAACTTATCTAAAATTACGGTCAAATTAATTATCCGCTCTAACCGGAAGTAGATTGACGAAATAAACCGCCTCTTCAAAAATTCAAGAAATGAAGATAACAAAAATTAAACCTACAACAAACCATCACGGATGTGGGCAGCAACTACTTTGCCGTGTCACCAACTTGTGATTGTTAAGCAAATTTTATTATTTAATACATATATTTTATTTTTTGGTCAAAACACCATGTATAATTATTATTTGTACAAATAATTAATACAAAAGCAATTTAAATAATATATTTATATAAGTATATAGTGCATCTTAAATTTAAATATATGCATTATAAAAGTGATCTCACACTTAACATATCTTAATATTTATTTTTACTATTTATTTATAAGGTATGATGTTACGATTCGATTCTGGTTGACCTCACAGTTAAACCAATGCCATCTAGTCCCTTTTTTCCAATTTGCTTAACGGTCTGAATTTCAAAACATTGTATCCACCTATGCGTATTTCTCTTTAATTTATTTTGGGTAAATTACACTGACACCTCCTGAGATTTATGTTTATTACAGTTCTGTCCCTCACATTTGGAAAATTACACTAACCCCTCTGTTAATTTAATTTTACGTATGATGATCATTACGGTGAAGGAAGGAACTGTTATGCAACTTTAAACCTCAGGGGGCAATCTGTAATGAAACTTTAAACATCAGGGAATGAGATGTAATTTCCAAAAAGTGAGAGAAGAAACTATAATAAACATAAACCTCAGGGGGTGTCAATGTAATTTACCCATTTAATTTTTGTTTAGAAGCTTTCTTATATTTATTGTCTTTATTAAATTTGTTGTATATTTCTGATTATATATTAAATTTTTTTTATATAATTGAATGTCTAATTTAATATAAATTTTGTAATATTTGTAATCTGTATTTTTAAAAAAATAATTAGCCCTCATGTGAATTCAAGTCCAGAAGTTACATATTCACCCAAAAACAAAGGCCAGAAGTCAGTTACAAGGCCAAAACATACAAAATACAATCAAAGAACAACATTTAAAAAAAAAAAAAAAAAACTTTTTTTTAAATAAGACTATCAAGTAAAAATTAGGATTCAAAAGACATAAAATCAAATATATTTTTATATAGAGCTCAATTTTGTATTGGTTCAGGTTACAAATCTAGAATCAAAATTAGATAATTCAAATTAATTAAGCACTTCCCCTATTTTAATCTTTTTTCAACATTTCTTAGATTACATGGAAAAAAAAATGACATTATCCAAAAATTGGCAAATAAAGAAAAAAAAATGATTTAACAAAAAAAAGGCTGTTGGCAAACCTAGAAGAGAAGTCATGAGTAAACAGAATAATAACAAATTAAGCAATAAATAAAAATGGAAATGTTTTCTTACAACATTCACCAAGTTTTCGATTGATTTCAACAGTGAATTTACGTACTAAAAAGTTGAAACATAACTAGCCAACATAGACAAGGTTTTTTATTTGAATTAAGAGAACTTTGTTTACCACACACTTCCATGAAATTACCAATTTGTAGAGGGCTCAGGCTAAATACTCCTCCAAATGTACAAAAACAAAAATGAGAAACTTTTTACAGCATTTAAGGGCCCTACAAATGCCAACAAGACAGTTAAAAAAACCCGTAACAAATAGCCCCAAAAAAATGATAATAACATCCTATAAAGGGCTTTAAAAAAAAAAACTAGATTAATTTCTTGAAATTTAAAAAAGAAGAAAAGAAAAAGAGGGGATTAATTGATACATGAAAGTTGACAGCCTAGAGATCGGTGGTCACATCTTTCTCCATTCTCTGAGAGAGTCGTCTGTCTTACCATCCACATTAGCATATATACAATCAGGAACTGGTGTTGCACCCTTTCTGAAGATTGTACCTCAAAATTTTAAGAACAGCTGGACCTGAATATTATCTCAAACTTTTGAACAAGCCGCAGGACCCAGATAAAAAATGGGTTATACCTAACAATCATAAATGAGATTATGTAATCAATAAGCACGTAAAGATGCATCACAAAGAACGTCTAAAACCTGAGATGAAAACAATTGTGTACCTACCAGCACTGCTAGCTCCATAATGACGGTTTTATCTTGGTCCCCAAAAGTTGGGAGCTGAAACACCAAAAAGAAACGATTTCAGAGCTAAACAACCAAAGTAATCCCTTTTTTTTTCTAAGTAGTATGTACAACCAATGAGTGGGAAGAGAACACAAACCTCTGATGGGCACTGGGATTGGACCTTCAGATGGCGGTCTATGAGGCGCAAGTTCTCTATGGTTCATGGCCCGGGGAGGGTAACCCCACCCATGGTTTGGTAATGGTGGTTCACACAGTGGGCCAGCATATGGAGCAGGTGGATATGACCCTCTCACATGATCAGGAGGATAGTATGTATCTGGGGCATTGATATCAAAGTAAACATGCAATCAACGAATATCAAATCAAAAAGATGATTCGACAATCTATAATCTTTCATTGAACTTAGTCAAGTAACAAAACTTACCAGAAAATGGGGGCCCAGAAAACTGCCAGCTCTCCCTAAACTCGTGTGGGACCATCTTCATTCTATCGTGGTCAGTATTATAATAATTTCCACCATCCGTGCTCTGCACAAAATGGGGCCTGTTAGGGTACGAAGGGGGAGGCACCTCCCTCAGTGACTGCACTCGTTGATCAGCCTGAACATAAGAGAACTGATTTGATGATGCAGGTTGAGGAGGACGCAAATGATAGGCCCTATTGTGGAAGGTGGCACCATCTGTCTGTTGAGCACTATTCACAGGTCGAATTAGTGGATGGGACACAGGAACACTGTTGAAAGAAGCAGAATCTGGTGTCTGCGTTTGTATCTTAACATCTCGGGATTCAGGAGCCTGATAACACACTGCATCTGAGGTTACTGAGTTTATTCTTGGTGCAACAGGCTGCTGAATAATAGGCTGGTGCAAATTTTCTTTGATATTCTGCAAATGCATGCCCAATCAACACAGAAACAAAAAAAATAAATTACTCCCATGTCAGAAACTACATTTTCAGATTAACAATACCCTAAATAGCACAAAACATATTGCCAAAGAACAAAGCAGCAACGCACATGTGTACCCACGTAGAGCTTCGAATCAAGATCATTCGAAATAGGATCAGGCATAAGACGTGGCGGTGGAGGTGGAGGCGGAGGCGGAGGAGGAGGAGGAGGTGGTGGAGGCGGAACGGTTTGTGGTAATGGTGGTGGAGATGTTGGCAGAGGAGGAGATGATGGTGGCACGTCCTGAGGTAAGGGTGGGGCAAAGGAAAGTGGGAAATGTCTTTCAAACCGAGGATGCATAGTCTGTGCGGTATCGATGCCACCATTACAGGTGGAATTCACATTAACTTCACAAGTGGGAGATACATCCTCCATTTCAAGCTCACCATCAACATCTTCCAAGATATGTCTATGTTTTCCAGTTGTTGCAGTTACTGGGATTATTTCCTGTTTTTTAGGGGTTTCAGAATTATGTTCAGGAGTAACAGCCTCAAAACTCCCACCATCAGAATCGCTTCCTTCATCTTCATGCTTGAGCATAGGCCCCATACAAAAACCGGGAAGCTGAAAACTTGAATTGCTGAAGCAATAAGATAAAGATTCAATAATTGATAATGCACACATGTAAAAAGTTAAAGAGATTCAACAAATTGACAACTTCCATATTCTTTTCTTTTTCATTTAAATTTTGTTAAGAAACAAAAGAGAAAAAATAACAATTTCACACCTTCCATATTCATCGACAAGCATACCCTCCATTTCCCTAATAGGATCATCAAAAGCCCTTTCTGTTCTCATGGGGCGCCGAGCAAAAGCACCAGAAGAAGATGAACCAGTGACAGATTCGAGCTCTCGAATATGATGACGAATAATGGAATCCGGAAGGATCCTTCTTTCCAACCAGAGCTTCAAAACCTATACATCAAAAGGAACAAATGAGGGTAAAAGCCAAAACAAAATGCAACTTTTTAAGCCAAAACAGGATTCTACCTTCAAGCACTGCCTACGATTTTCTTGTGAATTATTTCCAGGAGGAACAGCAGCCAACAATAAACGTGGCAGCACTGCTTGGATTGCTGAAGGATATATATCACCAACATCACCTGGAAATTCAAACTAGACTTCAGCATCACCAAATCCAAAACAGAACAAAAAAACATAACCTGTCAACCTGAATAATCATTCAAATATACATGACATCCAGGAGCCATCAAGATTCAGCGGTTAGATAGCAAGATAGAAAACCAATTACCTTTCAAGCCACGAGAGCACTGAGTAATAGAATCCACGAGGAAAAACAAGTCAACCCTTCTGCGTAAACTTGATTCACTTTCCAAATTACGGGCAAGAATTTCCACCACCTGAATTTTAGAACTCTACATATCAACTGCCTTGCAAGTACCAAATGGTAAAAAATGGCATGAACAAAACCAAGAAATAGAGTTCATGCAGTAATGCAGTGTCATCCGCCATAAAAACCATTACAGAATGTAGACGGTCATGGGGGGTGTTTGGTGTGGATTATAGAGGCAACTTATAGCTTATTTTAATTTCGAAGTTTGTGCCAGACTGTTTGGTGCAACTTTTGCTTATAGCTTATTAGGCAGAATAGCTTAAATAAGTTGGAAAAAGTCAATTTTCCATAAGGTGGGGAGGAGTGTTTTTAGCTTCTGCTTTCTGATTATTAGCTTTTAGCTTAAAATAATCTCTACCAAACACCCCCATGGTGATGCATGCCGACCGTGGGTGCTCTAGGAATCATGGTTGAAACAAAGATAACACAAGACCACGAGAGAGACAGAGACCTGAGGCAGCCTCAGTAGAGAGAGAGTAGCAATATAGGAGGCTTTTAGGGTGGGAGAGTAAGCTATCCTCCAGGGTCTGTCTTGTATGGAGGTGAAGACCACCTTTAATTAGACAGTTGGGCCATGGAGGCATGCCAAAAGCTGACAGAGGTAGGTGTGATACATCTTTTAAGGTATCACATGACTTGGTCAAAGAGGCCTCCCTCGTCTAATACTGGTCAAGGTACAGCCACCTCTAAGGGGTAGGGTGAACAACCATGACGATCCCTCAACTCTAGCCACCAATCCACAAGTCATGGTGATCCGCGAGGGGCCCTAGAGGCCTTGCTCCCAACCTAGACAAGAATGGAGCTTTGGGTGCGAGGCAGGAATCAAGCAGATCCTTAGCAAGGTAAAGGCATGCACGAGGCGCGTGGTGCCAAACAGATGGAGTGAGCATTGAGTGGTGCCAAGGTAAGGCCGGCCACCCAAGAAAGGTGCATGCCTTCTCATCATGGTGGAGTTAATATGTTGGCCACATGGGACACAAACACCCACACACCATACCCATAATGATTTTCCCCTTCACCACGGGGAGTTTTCGCGCGGGGGGGATCGAGCATACTGCATTGTTGAAGTTATGCATAGAAGTATATTAAGATATAGATATAATATGTTGAGATGTATTTTTATGTACTGTTCTATATAATAATATACAAACAATGACAATACTTCCACAAACATAATATTCCTAACAGAAGCATATAATAAACTATTTCTCTCATAACTAACTTCTTGAATTGAGTTATTTGGAGAGAAAAGAAAACAAATCAATCTCTCTTAATCTTAATCACTTGTTTGGATTACTAAACAAGAGATAAATGAGAAGAAATGGAGAGAAATATTTCTCTCATAACTCACTTTTTGAATCTCTCCAAAATTGGAGAGATAGAAAAGAAATGGAAAGATTACCAATTTTGTATAGGGTTTATTACACTTTATACCCCTAAACTATTGCTCAATTACCTACTTAGTCCTTGAATTATCGATTGAGTCTACTATGTCTCTAAAGTATATAAATCAAAATCTATACACTATCAATTGAAATTTGAATCTATTAAGTTCCTAAGTATATAACTCAAACATATTTAGTCCTAAAAAGATTACAAAAATAAAATATAAACCCATAAGTATTATAAATTAATAAAGGACTCTATTTAGTTAAAATTTTATTTCAAAATAACCTTAGATTCTTATTCTCTTTGAAAAGGGGGCATTAATTTTTATGGTGAATTTTCTTTTGTAAGGGTAAGAGTAATTTTCTATTTATCTTCTATAATGGCTACTTATTTGTCTTTATCTAGTATTACATGCCATATTTCCTTCATAATTACTAATTGATTATTTTTAAGCTTTTTGCTAAATTCATTTTATAGCTTAATTAATGCATTATTTTGTTCAATTATTATTTTGTAGCGAAATATTATTATTTAAATTATCTAATTCAACTTCTTCAATATATCAAATACTCATATAATTTTATTGGTAAGACTGAAAAATCAGACTCTAATACTAATTTAAAAACACAGCGAAATAAAATATTTTTTAATGAAAAAATACAAATTGAAATTTTTTCTCCAATAAAATCTTAATTTGGTCAGGTCTTTCACTAATTTATAATAATTATGGGCTTATATTTTATTTTTGTAATTCTTTCAGGGACTAAATAAGTTTGAATTAAATATTTAAGGGACTTTAATAGATTCAATTGATAATTTAGGGACTAAATAAACTTTGACTTGTATACTTTAGGACTGAGTAGATGCAATCGATAGTTCAACGATTAAATAGACAATTTGGTGATAGTTGAGGGGTAGAAAGTGTAATAAACCCTTTTTGGGTGCTACCAAAATTGCCTATTAAGAGTTTCTTACAAAAGAAACAAGAACATAAAAGGTTATTTTGGTAAAATAACCTATTAAGAGTTTCTTTTCTTTTATTTAATCCATCCAAACAAGATTTGGTGAGAAATCACTTTCTTTTCTTTCCAACTTAACCAAAAAGAAGGGAGAGAAATCATAATCATTTCTTTTCTCAACTTTTCTTTTCTCTCTTAACTTTTTTTTTTTAATCAGCAACACACAAGATAAATTTTATTAAGGCACAAGGCCAAGAGGATGAGGCATCCTCAACAGGAAAAAGAAAAAGTACCTTTTCTCTCTTAACTTGACAAATCATTTATTTTCTTCTCTCACCTAAATATCCAAACATAGTGTAACCTCTTTAAAGCCCTTAACAGCCTAGAGAACCTAGTCCTTACGCAGAGAAAAAAAACCTAATTTGGTTAAGTTTAATAACTTATTTTATTGCTAGCCGTCCCCCTGTTCAAGACAGAGATTGTGTGGATGATGTGTGCATGACAAAAGTACTGGAATGGGAAAACTAAAAATTCACTCGGAAATTAAATCCTTGGTAAAATTTTAATTCCTAATTCGAATTTAAAAGTTTAGTCTATTCACCACTCTAGGCACAAATGTGTTAAATGATATTTCATTTCATTACTTCATCATAAAATCCACAAAATGGAGATCAAGTATAGATCCATCTTCCTCTAGCCTAAGACAAACCCAACTGGTCCACTTCCAAAAAGAAACATATGGAGTACCATTTTCAGTCTTCTTCAACTGTTTTCAGCCAGTTCTACTTTTTTATGGATTTAGAAAGGTGAAACAATCACCACAAACCAAAGAAACACACATTTTTGCCAAAAAAACAAGTCTCCTTCTCAATCAGAAAATACATGTCATGTTGTAAGAGAAGATAAATCAATTGTGAAACAGCAAAAAACCTTGCAAACTCAAAATGATCAACAAATGCATGATAGAGCATCAATTACGTGGTTGAAAACAGAAAGGGGGCAACAATAAAGAAACAAGAAGGTGGCCAGAGTTGATCATTCAGCCCATAGGGAGTCAACCCATGGTTTAATAACCAGATATATGGAAATTTATTGAACTATAAGTTCCTTTATCAGTCACACTCAGGTCCTTCACAATGAAGAAGCACAATAAATCTGCAGACATATTATCGGATATACATTGCATCCAATGATACTTCATGATATATATTACACATCAAAAGAGTCTTAAAAGTGATCATTAGAAGGGTAACGCCACCATCACAATGTCATTTCCAGATATCAGTATCAGGAACAGAGTAAAAACCAATTGAGCATAATTGCAAAAACATGACCATACCTTAGCAGCAATACCAAACTTTGCACAATCAATGGCAATGCGCGTTGCTCGACCAATGCTCTCCTTTGTCCTTGTCAATGTTCCAAGAACAGCCTGAAAAGATGCCAGAGCAGCTGTTGGTTCTGCTTTATTGCTCCATTTGCCCACATTTTTGGATTTTGCTTGGACCAAATTAACATCAGGGCTACAACAGCCATTATTTTCAAGAATTTTATCATTATCTGATGTAGAAATGTTGCAAATTGAAGCATTAGGGGGCGACGTGCGTGCAGGAGAGTCTAATCCATCTGTTGGAGATGAAGATGACTGGATACCTGAGATACCCTTATCACCCAAATGATCATCAGATATGGAAGTGGAACGAGGTAATTTTGGTGGACCCTCAGTAGCAGCAGCCGCCGTAAGCTTTACTGATGTGGGAATTTGAATACTAGAATCCCTCTGTGTTGGTTTAATTTCTTTCACAGCCTCAGACCTAAGAAAGACCAAGAAGCATAAAACCCACAAAATGCAAAAGAGAACTCAGAGAAGAGATTGGCACAACAGAAACTGATGCAAACTAAAATTTGCAACGAGAAAATACTGAAAATTAACAATAACACCTATGGACTCTAGTATGAGATATCATATGGTAAAATGTACAAACAAATGCTTACATTCCATTAGCTTGGTTGTTCACATGTAGTGGAAGTTTCCACAACTTGGTAGCTCCAGAACAATTACCCTCTGTGCTGCATGGAAGTAAATTAGTATCATTTTGTGGTGAAACTTTACCATCAACAGCCCCTGAGACAGGATTTGAACTCATCCCAGAATGTTCTGATGGATCAAGTTCATTCAGAGGTTTTCCAGCTTTATGGTTGCTTAAGTCACGATTCTCACTATTGCATTCATCCTTCAAAGGCAACATCTGAGCCAGTGAACCTTGATTGCATCTGAGACAGGCCTGTTCTTTTCCAGGATCAGGTGATAACGGTTTTGGACTTTGGGCCACAACCCTAACTTCATTAGTTTGAGTAGCTGAAGATGAAACACCAATACCTCTGAAATCAGAATGGTCCAAAGCCTCCATATGTATATCTTTGCATAACTCACGTTCCGGGCTACTGGAACTTCTGACTGATCCATTACAAATTGCAACTTCTACAGAAGATTTTGCACTTTCCTTTGGTGCTGCAGGACCCAAACTGGTAGAGAAACTGGAGATACCATCCTGAGAAACATTCTGGCCAAGAACATCTGCGTTCTGCACCCCAAATTCATTCCCTGCTCTACTTTCCATAGACATGTGATGGGAGTCTCTCACGGGGGAAAAACATCCTCCACTAATTAACGTCTTCATGACTGACGGTGCTTCAGTTTGACCATCTTCAGCAGCATTAGCTGACATAGCTTCCAGGGCACGATGAAGGCGTTTAGATGGAGGTAAAGCAGCTTCACCATCCACTGCACAACCAAATGGTTTATTTTTCTTGACTTCCCAGATCTGAGGCTTATCAACTGAAGATTGAGGAGGGCATTTGTTTTGTAGTGATGAATTTTCTGTAGCTTCCTTCACCACAAATGAGTGTTTATCAGGAGGACCATCTTCTTTGCAATTTGAGGATGTGGAAACCTGATTAGAGAAGCTATTTGACACTTCTAATAATTTCTCGTCTGATTGTATGCTCGTATTGCACTCCTCCACCATAGAAGATGGTCTGCCCATCCGAACCCTGGCTCGTTTCACTAATGGAAGATGCTCATCACCACCTTCTTTGGAATACTTTTCATTCAACTTTTCATGAGAGTTTGGTGAAATTTGTCCGGTTCTATGCACTTCAATCTCTGAACCTGCCTCATTATTTAGTTTACCAGTAGTCTCAGGAACATCAGTAGTCACCCGTTTTCTATTAGGTTTCCTTTTCTTCTTAGTGAAGACAGGCATTTTTCGGAAATCAGGCATTTGGCTCAACTCAACTTCTCCCTCGTAGCAATCATTAATGGACTCAGGCTGCAGAAGTTTACAACAAGAGTCTACAGTGCTGCCTTCAGTTAGACTGAAAGTGTCCGAATCAACCGTGGCAATTTCAGAACCATTTTCCTCAATGCTACCATTTGAAAGAAAAGCAGATGAACCTGTGTCATGCCCTTCAGAGACATCAGGTGATTTCCTGATTCGTTTGCTCCTTCTCACCGACCCATCCTGCAAAACATTAGCAGCTACATCCCCAGCAGCTGTACTGCCATTACTAGATGGAAACATCTTTTGGAATCTACTGGCGTCAACCCTTAATGAACTTCTAGACCTACGAACAGATGGCCCCCTTTTCTGTGAGACAGAACTTTGTGTTTGTACACCTCCAAGTCTTTTTTTTAACGAGAATGTATTTGCCAAATGTTTTTTTGTAACTACCAAACTATCAATAGGCTCCTCAGATGATGTCTCCCTATCACGCAAAACATCATCTGCCTGCGTTGCATCTGCAGCACCTCCAACTGGAAGGCTTGACTCATTCTTATCCCCAGTAGAATAAGGCGTCTTTACACATGAATCAAGGATCGCCGAAGGAGCCTCAATCTGATCATTTGCTGCAAAATCATCCACTGAGTTGGCTGCATTTGTCACAGTAACTTCATCAACTGAGTTAATCTCAACAACTTGGTCCTGTTTCTTCAACTTTTCGTAGCATTCAATAATCTCATGTACCGCACGGCCGAAATCAGCACCTTTCCCATGGCGTTTAGCTAGAAGAGATTCTTTTTTCTCTTCTGTAAATTCTTCAACATCAACAGGGTTGCAGAAGGCTCTGCAAGGAAAGCATCCTTTAGCCCCAAATTACAGGAACTCAAGAATAAAGGCACCTTGACAGATATAGTTGGACCCATTCAAGCTCAATGACACACAAACAAAAAAAAACAAAAAAACGCACAAAGAACACAAAACGAAATCTTACAATTGAGGGGAATGCACAATTACTAATAATTGACAATGTATATGACACGACAACCATCATTTGGAGAATCCCTTGCTTTTGCATCGTTAGACAAGGAAACAGAAAGGTGTATGCTTCCTACAAATAGGAGTGTGACAACAGCATCACCAAAGTGGAAGAACATGCCTACATGTGTTTTTATTTCTATTTAAAATGCTCTCCAAATCTTACAATTTAGGATTCACAAAGATAAGATTTCAATAAACAATTCAAATCCCAATTTAATTGAGTACAAGCTAGCCATTGGTTGGAAGTTTGCAATGAGACTGTTATGTGACCGTCTGAATCAACATACACCTATTAGGCTTACATAGGCCAATGCTCAATACAAAAGAGAGCAAGGTGTGCTTTTAGGCACAGCAAGACAAATCTTTATTTTGTTAAATCATAAACAACAATTTTGACTGCAAAGTATTATCCCTACGACAGAATGCTCGACCCAAAGGCATACGCAACATGATATATTGATTATATGAAAATCCTTCAAAAAACAGCCTGAGACTCCTTGCCTTGGTTAATATAATCCAATAAAATGCATGAATAAGTCCATCAAAAGTCCTTGGGAAAATTATAAGGAAGAGGGTTTCAATAACAGAAGGGTTCACTAATTGATGTACATTGTGATTATGTAATCAATTGTATTGTGATTTAAAGGACACCCACCAAGCAAGGGATCTATTATTCCCTGTATCCCACCCATAGAACCAAAGTTCTTTCTCAACCCTTCTAAAGGTTCAAGTGTCCCACAATTCCAGTGCTTGCAAAGTATTGATTTTAAGCCAGTATATTTTCATGTCTATAAAATTCACACAAAACAAATCAAAGGTATTTATTAGCTCCATACTCCCATATTGACATCTATCACAATATAATTTTATAACTAGAAAAATATAGAACACTGAGATTTAAAATCAAAATAAATATTAAAAAAACCTCTACCAAAAACCTTAAGTGGGGGAGCTATTTGTATATCCTCATTGTGTCACATAGAAATAGTCAGTGTTTTAAAAGGCATGCTTAGAACAGGTGGAGGTCAGGCACAATATGCAAGGCCCAGCTTAGGCGCTGAGGCGAGAGCTTTTTTTCGAGGCATGAGCTTCATGGGTTTTACCTATTTCTCTACTCCAACTGTTGACTAAGTGCTTTTTATTTTATTTTTTTTTAAATGTAAACTAAAAGCTTAGTTGTTTTGAACTTTACGTGAATGATCTCAGAACTTGAGATTTTTGGTGGATGTGAATTTGATACTTTATATCTTTTGTTGGATATTATATTTCTAGTTTTTAGAAGATTAAATGTTACATTTATCAATTATTTGAAATGGTGAAGTTTGCTTTATTATTTTTGGAATTCTATATATATTTGTTATGTTGAAAATTTTGCTTATTTTACAATTTTGGTTTTCTTCTACTACTTGCACCTCGTTTTTGGTAATTCGTGTGCCTCGTACTTAGGCTATATGAGACCTTATCACCTTGGTACGCCTAGCACTTTTTAAAACACTAGAAATAGTGCAACGTAACCATCCTGTAGTCATGCATCCACAAGCTCTTTTATAAGCAGGACCATGTCTCCTGTCCTTTTTAAGGGAAAATTAGAAGATAAATAGTTAAATAAGCATTACAACCTTAAACCCTACTTCCCTCCTGAAAGAATAATACTTAGAACAAGAAAAGACAATAAATTATAAAGTAAAGCAACTACCACAGAGGACCTTGAGCTATTTGGAGCTTGTTGCCTACCACAGAAGAACCTAGCAGTTGTTCCCTCCAAATACCGCTAACTTGTGATTCTTCTTAATCATCCTCTTCATCATCATCGCCAACTAATAACCACTTGTCTTAAATTCAAGCCCGCATTGCTCAACATAAAACTCTCATTTCAGCAAACAAAACTTCACCTAACACTTTTTCATAATTTTTGTTCCTTTCTTGCGGGACCTATTTGGGAATATGTAGTTATATTAACCAGCCACCCATACCTTGTCATTGAATCTCTTATTTTCATTATAAACCTTCAGAAAACATTATTTATCAATAAATAAATAAATAAAATAAACCCTCACATAACATTATAAAAAATTTCAACCTTGTTTTGAAATCAAAATATGTACTGACAACATTGGCCTCAAACTTTTATAAATGAAAGAAAAAGGTGCAATCAATAAGAACTTGCACAAAAGAATAGCACATTCTCAACCCATGTCCTTGTTTGTAAATCACATGTATTAATCACCTCAAAGAGCAAATGAAACCTAAGCCATACACTTGATGCTCAAATTACTCTCCTATTTTTTAGGATAACTCAACACAAAATCATTTTTTGATCTTCCTAGCTATGTGATGTCAACTTCTCAAAACCCAATGTGTGAGAACCAAATTTGAATACACAATTTGCAAAATTTGGTTGCTTCCTAAGCATTAAGCCAAAGACCTCTGCATCCTTAGGTGGAAATGAAAAATGGATAGTTATCTACTATGAAAATGTATATGGGATCAAGAATTTCACAATAAAATCACTTAAATTGGGTTCCTGACAAACAAAAATCCCATTGTGGACTACTGTAGATGAGATCACCAGATGCGCCTCTAGGAAGATGGCACAGTTAGATGACCGGAAATCACCGGAAGTGAAAGAGGATAGAGCTGAGGCACTCTTTGGAGAAAGAAGGTTGCAGCAGAGATCCTTTGAGCCAAAAGGAAGAGAGAGTTGTGTAGGAGATGTGTTGACGAATTGATTGCTTGAGATAAACCTCTTTATATAAAGGAGATTAAAGTCTCCACCCTTTAAATCGACAATATGGAGGAATCTCCACGACAATATCAACATCAGGACCTATGTTACCTAGAACGCATATCCTTTTGGTCAGTGTTTTAAAAGGCTCTAAGTGCACCGACGTGTTAAGGGCCCCTACAGCCTAAGCGAGAGGAGTGAGGCGAGGTGCACATAATAGAAGAAAAGCGAAATTATAAAATAGACAAACTTTTTAACAAAACGAATATATGATGTATATTAAAAATATAATATCCAACAAAAGGTATAAAATATCACATTCACATCCACCTCTACCAAAAACCTTAAGTGTTAAGATCATCTACATAAAGTTCAAAACAATTTCCTGTTTGTGGTTCAAAAAAGAAATTAAAAAAAAAATAAGTCTTATGGTTGCATTGTACGAAGAAAAAAACAAAGAAAAAAATGAAAAAAAAAACAAAGAGCAAGAGAAGAAGACTAGAGAAGAGGAGAAGAGAGAGGAGAGAAGAAGACTAGAAAAATAAAGCAAAAAAGAACAAGGCAAAGAAGAAGATAAGAAGAGGAGAACTAGGGATTTTTTTTAATCCTTTTTGCTCTTTTGGACCACGTCTTGGTCATTTTATAATGTAAGAGAGATTTTATTCCAAGTGAATATCCACACAGAAAACCATACGAGCCGTTGGAGTGGAATACAAGTGAAGTGCAGAAGGCACTCACCTCTCGCCTCAAAATAAGGAGCTCGCCCCAACGCCTCAATTGCATCTTACCCATGTCGCCTCGCCTTGCTATCTATGAAGCACAGACACGGACACGGACACGCATACGGACACTGACACGGACACGGGACACGTCAATTTTTAAAAAATGGGGACACGGACACGACAGGGGACACGGCAGATTTTTTAATTTTTTTATAAATATTTTTATTTTAATACATATTAATTATTTTATTTATTTATTATATTTTTTAAATAATATGTTTTAATTAATTTTTTTATTTTATTTTATATACATGTTTATTTATTTTTATTAATATGTATAAGTATAGATAATATAATAGTTATATAATAATAACTGTGGCATCCTTTATACTATTATAATAATAATACTTTCAGTTTTTATTATAATATAATAATAATAGTTATATTATATATATATATATATATGAATCCAGCAGAGCAGATTATAATAATAGTTATATATTATATACATATATGAATCAGCAGATTAAAGAAGACGCGACTGAGAGAAAGAGAGGAAGAAGCGATCGATCGCGATCGCGATCGCGATCGCGAGGGAGAGAAGGTGAGAGAGAGAGCTCATCGAAGTCGAAGGGCGACTGGATCGTCGAAGTCGAAGGTGATGGAGGTCGCCGGCGAGTGACTGGACTGGATCGAAGTCATGGAGGTCGCCAGCAAGTCGACTGGACTGGATCGAAGTCCAGGTTTGTTTCAAGACCTTTACTTCTCCTTTACTCTTCTTTTTGGCTCTCTGTGTCCAGATTTGGACACGCGTGTCCAGATTTGGTGGACACGCGTGTCTCCGCCGTGTCTCCACCGTGTCCCCTGCAAAAAAATAATTAAATTAAAGGGACACGCCACCCGCCGTGTCCCGTACGTGTCCCCGACGTGTCCCCGTGTCCCCGGCGTGTCCCCGTGTCAGACACTGCCACGGCATGAAATCTGCCGTGTCCATGCTTCATAGCTTGCTATGCATGCAGCGCAAACCTGCGCCTCGTCTCACCTTGAGCTTAGGCACACTTTTCAAAACACTGGTTTTGGTACAAAGAATGGCAACGGGAACGGGAATAGGAATGCGAATGGGGTACGCCACATGTTTTAAAATGTGGTACAAAGGGAATACTTCTTAATTTGATATCCAATATATTATAATGTATTTTTCTTGAAATTAATCATTCAACAATATAGTTTTATAAGCATTATAACCTATTATTTTACATTTTGTCAATCCAAAACCCCACTCAATCTAGATTTTAGTTCATTATATTTAACATTTTTCCCTATTAGGGAGAAGTTTTAATGAAAAACATAGAAAAAATTATGGGATCGCTTAACCACAGCACCATTCTCCACTAAATGAATAAACAAAAAATAAAAACCTGAAGATGGAAAAAGAAAATAAGCAAATAGAGTGGATAATAAAGATTATGGTTATGCTAGACCGGTTATAATGAAGTTCAATATTTGACTGGGGGGGAAAAAATAGCATAACAAAGTCAATGATTACACATACAACTGACTATTGTCTAAATATTTCCCTACCATGCACAATCAGCTCTGATATCATTCACACCATTTAAACACCCATAAACATTATTCAATCATAAAACCAACTGCCGCCACTAAGTAAATGTGATAAAGATAGACGTAAAATAACATAAGTTACAAAACATGAAAACTATTAACTACAAAATAGAATGAAGTACTCACATTTGCTGGGTTCCAAAGAAGTATACAAGTACTTTCTTCCAATCAGCCGAATAGCCCCACTTCTCTGGTTCACTTACCTGCCATCAACAACCAAATTTCTTAAGCTTTTTGAACCTTTCTTTTCTGTTCTTAAATTATTTCTGAGCATTAATCAGCACCTAGGTGTTTCACCCTTGTATATAGCTAAACTCTACTCTAAAACAAAATCAAAACTGAAACAATAAAAAGCCCCAAAACTTGTTCTTGAATCTAACACTCTGAACACAGTGAAAATCAAACAAAAAACTGCATGCAACTCAAAAATATTCGTTCTTGTGTCAGATCCATCAACAACAAGGACGAAAATAAGCTCTAGAATCGTTTCAGACCTATATGCATCCATTAAAGAAGCAAAAAAATAAACAAATTTCTTAAAGTGGGCAGTAAAATAATTGAATCTTTTCTACATAGAAGACCATCTGCATACCGTTGCAGGCCAGGCCGGGAAGCCCTTGACCTTGGCGAGAACAAGATCGCCGACTTTCCACTGTTTGCGAGCAGCGGCCGCCGCCGCCGCCGATGCTCTGCCGCCACCCTTCCTGCGACTCGGCGCCATTCGGAAGATGAAAAATTGCAGAGCTCAGAGTCAAATTAGGGTCATGCGTTCTTCGAAGAACGAAATAAGAAGTTGTGTCGGCGAAGCGGTGGTGCCGAAATTGCCAGTCCCTTCGTTGAGAAAGCAAAAGGCTTCAATCTGTTTAGGGTTTGCAGTGGACGATGGTATGGATGGATTTCCAGGCATTGAAAAAACATACACGTATAGAGATATATTGAAATTGAGATTGCAATCACTGGAACTGTTGAAAACCCTAATTTTCAACAATACATGTATGTGTCTATATCACTATTTTAGAGAGAGAGAGAGACTGACTAGTGATACTGTGTAGGTTTTCTAAACCCTAGTTTGAGAGAGAGAGTTTGTGGAGTTTTGTGGGAGAAGCCCCATTCACACACGGAACAAACAGATATAGGCATTTGGTTCCTCTTCTCTCTCTCTCTCATCGATACATGCTAAAGTGCGCTAGGAGTGGGTCTGGTTTGGGGATATAGAGGACTAACGTGCGCTGCGTGCGGATGAATCTAGTTCATATATACCGAGACAGAGTCGGGCCATTTGCAAACATCATTAAAAAAATAATATTTGATATTTTAAAAATTTTATCAAATGTGACCAAATTATGTGAGTCACTGATAAAATTTTTAATAAAATTTTTAAAATCTCTAATGTTACTTTTTAATTTATTTTGAATCATATTATTTTTCACATAAAATAATTAAAAAAAGGGTATGACTTCTGTCCAGTCTGGGATCGGCTTTGACTGTGTTGTTAGGCCCGTAGGGGCTCACCACGGGTTCCGTTTTGATAATCTGAATCATTCAATATGTAGAACTCGTCGAGTACTATATGCCTGTAAAAAATTATGTTGATCGGATATCGATAGCTATATGATCAAATCAGTTTCGTATTAAAAAAATTGGACGGTAAACAAATTAACGGTAGATAAAAAATTGTTTTGATCACATAGCTATCGATATCCGATCAACTTGATTTTTTACAGGCATATAGTACTCGACGATTTCTATACATTGAACGTTTCAGATTATAAAAATAAAACATGTGATGAGCCCCCACAAATCCAACAACACGCTCCAATCCGATCCCGAACCGAACAGAAACCATACTCTTAAAAAAATTAACTTTAACCATCTTCGCAGAACATTTTAGGCGTGACTCACCGAAGTGCCATCTAATCATTCGTACCTGGACTGGGCCAAGCCCTGCTGGTGGGTGGGCAGATAAAGATGGGTCGAACCCATTTATTCTTTGGGTCAAAACTTTTATGGCCTGTACGGGGAGTAAATATTCTGGCGAGCCCGTACTCCTTTCTTCCAAGCTCCGTTTATGTCCGATCACCTGCGAGCAAGAAACGGTGAGCCGCCCGGCGGTGTGTGGCCGGAGAAACCCTCCGACGATCAAGTTAGCACACACCTTAGGATAGAGAGAGAGAGAGAGAGGAGTGTTAAAGTGTAGAAGTTTTCTTACAAAGTGTTTTTCTGTCGCGTATGGGGGGCGCAGACATGCTTATATACCCTCTGCGCCTCATATCCACTCCCAGTCAACTCCTGACACGTGGCTCTACTATCCCATCTGTCAGCATAAACCTTGCTGAACATCACCTAATCTCGACTGTCTGCCTTCTCAACTGGAGCCTGGCAGCCGAACTTCTCTATCCACGGCCGGGCTGTGCTTAATACCTAAGCACTTCACTATCCAAGGCCAAGGAAGACCGGGCTAAGCGGCATCTCGGCAAAGCCTAGCCCGGGGCACCTCCTGTGGTCGGCCTTCCTGCCGATCAAATGATTACCTCGGCTAACCACGCCTTTCTGGGCGCCGGTCACTCAGCTTGACTGGCCCCGCCATTACCTCATCAAGCAGCTCGGTCCAACCGAGCACTGCCTTGCCGAGCAGCTTCTTTACGGTCTGTCGGCGCATGTTTGGCCCAACTCCTGCCCGGCCCAATTCCTAGCAGCCCATCAACGGGCGGATTGCCGGTCATCTCGGCCCCATGCATCATTAGGCTCTCAACCTGCTCGGCCATTACCTCGGCCCAACTCCAGATCATAAATCTCCCTCTCAAATGCCCCTTAATTCCGTCCACGCAAGCGTGACTGGGATTACCTATACTTCGACCGGGGTAACATTTCTTCGGTCTTCAAGATGACAAAGGGCAACCGGGCTAGTTAACATAACTGTCTGCAAACTTGCCCGGTTATTCTCCTCGGCTGACGTCCTCTTCTTCGAAAGTAGCCCGGTTGGCTCTTCGACTCTTCAACCTGTCCCCTCAGTTCTGACGTCGCCATAAATGGGGACACGTGGCGGGCGACCATTGGTTCTCGAGTAGCCAACCCGCCGTTTTTGCCAGAATTTGAATTTGGGCGGTCTCACCCTTATTTATACATACAAGACCTCTCCAAACTCAATTTCCTCCTACTGTCATTCTGCTATTCGACTCCAGAGCTCTAGCATCTTTGTCCAGGCCTCATTTGCCGTTCTTTACATTTGTGCTCGAAGGAAAAGTAGTTGCCCCTCATTGGTAAGACCTTCGATCCCTCTTTTGTTGCTATTTTCTTTAATATTACACACATTAGGGCACTAAAACGTAGCTCTTAGGGCATAGGCCATAGAAACCGTCCCAAACCTCCCACTGTTCTTGGTGTTCTTTATTTTCCTGAAGAACACTGAAGAACTGGGGCGGATTGGGCTTCTGGTCTTCATTTGATCCTAAAAACCAATCTAACCGAGCAAATAACATGTTTGTCTCAATCCCAGCAAAAACCGAGATAACAAAAGGACTTGGCCGCTCAACCGGGCTAACATCTGGTCTGCTTGGGCGACCGAACTCCTTAGTTAGATTAGACAACCGAGGTGGTTTGGCACTCTTAATGACCGAGCTAAAGTCCAGCTCCTTTCGCACGACCGCGCTCACACTTACACTTGTCATCCTTTTCCTGCAGAGTCCAAGGGGACCACTGTCCATTCCTGAGGCTCTCAGGACCGAGCAGCAACCAATTACCACAGTGCCAAACCCCTCAGCCGCGCTATCCTAGACCGGCCACAAATGGGAAAATTTCGCTTCCTAGTGGATACTCCGGCCGCACTGGCTGCGTTCAGGGAGGAGTACGGCATCCCGGCCGATGTCCACCTGGAGCTCGCAGAAGAAGAGACCACGCCTTGGGGTAGAACAGAACAATGCCCCTTCACCGTGCTGTCGATCGTCGAAGGAGGCCTCCGCTTCCCTATGAACCCACTTATCACCGAGTTCCTATGCCGAACCGGGCTAACACCCACCCAAGTGTCCACCAACACTTACCGGATAATAAACGGCGTGCACGAGCTAAACAACCGGTTAGGCATAAGCCTAGGTTTAGCCGAGATCCTGCGCCAATACACCCTAGGCCACACCGGCGACGGTCTCGCCTATTATCTCAAGATTAGACCGGGTAGAGAGAAAATCGTGACCGGCACACCAGACAAGGATCTTCACGACGATGATTTCTTCTGGGTGTCTGGCAATTACGAGACAGCCGAGGTACCGGGCTGGATGATAAGCAAAAACTTTGGCAGCACATGTAAGCCGCGCAAACTATCTCGGTTAATATCAAAAAAATTGATTTTGTCCGGCCAAGCAAAGGAGCAAACATTTTGGTCACCATCCTCTGAAAGGTTGCCCCGGCGTTCTTCAAACCAAAAGGCATGACTCGGTAGCAGAAGAGTCCCCTTGGAATTTTTTTTCTTGTTTCTTTTGCAGCAATCCAAGCCTTACAAGCCAACTATCATTTCCCCAACGTAGAGGCAATCAGGACCGCGCTCCGCTATCGCGACCGAGATTGCAACCAATTGCTCGGCTACAGTCCCACATACAGATACTCCGCTCCCCGCCGGAGTAAAGTTACAGACTTCCTCCGCGCTCCAACACCTCCACCAGACCCAACTCTACCAGACGTTCCCCTCATTCAATTGACAGAGGAACAAGAAATGGCCAAACGAAGCAGAATCAAGAAACTACTCACCGCCACATCTGCCGAGATGCCGAGCGTCGTCACTCGCTCGCCAGCCGCCGGTCAATCCAGTGGCGCTGTGGTCGCTCTTGCCTCTCAAGTGACCGGGCAGTCCAGCCGAGAACCTGCTCCACGACGTGCCGGTAAAAGAGCTCAGGCAGACCCATCTGCCGAGCTTGTCACCGAGCTGACTACCGAGCATCCATCTGACGCCCCCGTCCTAGTGCCGGCCTGGCGTCCATAGTTGAAGCACCGGGGTCAAGACATCCCGGCCACGGCTTCGATCAAGGGCGACAAAGAGCATTTGCTTGCCTTCGATCTTTCCAAAGCTCTTCTTCTACCGAGCGACGTAGTCGGCAGCGACCACGTTCCTGACACTCGGTTGGTCAAATCATCAGTGAAGTCTATGGCTAGGGTAAGTCAATGTACTTCTGAAAATTTCACAAGTGTTTACCCGGTTCCTTTTCTAATCAACTTTGCTTCTTGCAGGCCATTCAGAAACAACATCTCGTATTGGAGCGCATCCATAGGCTTCGGCAAAAGGCCAATGACACAGCCGGCCAAGTTGAGAGCCTTCAAGCCGAGCTCGGCCGAGCAAAGTCTTCGCTTAAGATGGCAAATGCAGACAACAACAGACTGCTCGGTCAGCTGGATGCGGCCGAGAAAAAACGGGATGAGCTCCAGACCGAGGTAAATGCGCTCAAAAAGTCGAAGAAGAAAGACTGCCGGGCTGCTAACAACGTCGGCTTCAACGAAGCCGAGCAGAGCTACAAGAAGCAAGTCTTTGCAACACAAGACATCTACTTCAAGGCTGGCTGGAAGTCCGCCTGCGAGCATCTCGGCCAGGGTTCTGACACCGACGTATTTGCCAATCCTCCTCCTGCTTCGCTACCGGTCTACCTCGTGCCTTACGCGAACGATGTCTTCAGCGCTTTGCAAGCTGAGGTCGATGAAGGGCTTGAAGAAGGAGATGCTGAGACAGATTCGGAGGCAGAAAATGCCGAGGTGCAGGAGCAGCCCAGTCATGAAGAGCCCGGTGCCCAAGACAATAGTCCAACCATAAACCTTGAAGCCGCTGAGGATGAGTTTACCAATCTCTCTCCCCTAGTTTAGTTTTCTTTTCTTTTCGTATTTTGCTTTCAGCGCTTTTGATGTAACCGGGCTCTGTCCCCACCTTTTGTATTGACTTTCTTATTAATGAAAAACTCAATTTTGCCAAGTGTTTGCACGGTTATCATCAATTCCATCTTCAGCAAAACACCTCGCCAACCGGAATTCATAACTCGGTTGAAGTACTTAAACACAACAAAACTGCAAATTCCTAAACCGAAATAATCATCTCGTTTGGTAATCACCAAGTCTTCCAACCGAAAT